ATGCAAAGTAAACCCCTTACCATCTGAAATTTTCCAGAAACATCTGATTTTGCCCTAATTTGGCAAGGTTAACCCCTTACAATTTTTGATTTTTCATACAAATCTGATTTTGCCCAATTTTGCTAAAAATGCAAAGTAAACCCCTTACCATTTGAAATTTTCCATAAACACCTGATTTTGCCCTATTTTGCTAAAAAAAAGCAAGGTTAACCACTGACAATTTGAGATTTTTCAAAAAAATCTAAATTTTCCCAATTTTACTACAAAAAGCAAGGTTAACTCCTTACAATTTTAAATTTTTCATTCACATCTTTTTTTTGCCAAATATCACTAAAAAAGCAAGGTGTTAACCTTGTTAACCTTACAATCTGAAATTGTCCAGAAAGATCTGATTTTTTCGCAATTTCGCTAAAAATACAAGGTTCACCCCTTACAATTTGAGCTTTTTCATATAAATCTGATATTGCCCAGTTATGCTAAAAAATGCCAGGTTAACCACTGACAATTTGAGATTTTTCAAAAAAATTTAAATTTTCCCAATTTTACTACAAAAAGCAAGGTTAACTCCTTACAATTTGAAATTTTTCATTCACATCTTTTTTTGCCAAATATCACTAAAAAAGCAAGGTTAACCCCTTACAATCTGAAATTGTCCAGAAAGATCTGATTTTGCCCAATTTCGCTAAAAATACAAGGTTCACCCCTTACAATTTGAGATTTTTCATATAAATCTGATATTGCCCAGTTATGCTAAAAATGCCAAGTTAACCCCTTACAATCTGCAATTTTCCAGAAACATCTGGTTTTGCCCAAATTTGGCAAAGGTTAACCCCTTACAATTTTTGATTTTTCATACAAATCTGATTTTGCCCAATTTTGCTAAAAATGCAAAGTTAACCCCTTACAATCTGAAATTTTCCATAAACACCTGAATTTTCCCAATTTTACTAAAAAATAAAGGTTAACCCCTTACAATTTGAACTTTTTCATATACATCTTATGTTGCCAAATTTTACTACAAAAGCAAGGTTAACCCCTTACAATCTGAAATTTTCCAGAAAGATCTGATTTTGCCCAATTTCGCTTAAAAATGCAAGGTTCACCCCTTACTATTTGAAATGTTTCATAAACATCTAAGTTTTACTAAAAATGCAAGGTTAACCCCTTACAAGCTGCAATTTTCCAGAAACATCTGATTTTTCCCAATTTTGCTTAAATGTAAGGCTAACTCCTTGCAAACTGTTAAATCAATACATGAAGTGTCCCATTTGACTTTTTTTTAAAACAAATTATTTTCCCAGTTTTTAGGGTAAAGGAATTTTCTCTTTTTCCTTTCTCTTTTGTTGTTGCTATATTTTGCGAATTAACTCATTCGTATGGAATGCTCATAGTCAATCAAAGAATATTTCACACATAGGGGCCTAAATTATATATTTTTAAATTTAATAGAGACGCATTGATCGTGCTATCATATACCATTCTAATACCATTGCGAATTACTGTATTGTTTGGAATGCGCTCACAATTAACGTTTTTGAAAGATGTATAAATAATATTTATATTACAATGTACATCTTTATTCTTTCCCGGTATAATTTATGGCGTTTCTTACGTCAATTGGCAATCGCGTCATTATATAATGATAGTCAAATTGATCAAACGAAACTCCGTTTTGATTATAGTCAATTATGAAATATTCATTGATTTATGACATACACCTTTGTTTCAATTTTGATACTACCCGTAGACCTGCCGAGCAGCTGTAGATATCAAACTAAACCAAAGTATAAAAGATAGAGGGTAAAAAAATCAAAAAGTTATGTGCTAGTCAAGCTTTCAGGGATCGGTCTGAGCCATAACAATGCCCCAGCCGATCCCTTAGTTCTCTTCCGGGGTCTCGGCGTCCCCGACCAATACACACTTCCTTCCCTATCCATCCATATAACCCCGGAGGGCCAGGCACCATGTAAAAGCAAAGAGCTAAGGGAGGAACAGGGCGGCCCCTAAGCCCTGATCCTCCGAGTGGACCACATGCCCTGAACCTGTACGAAGGCGCCAACCTGGAATTCGCGGACAGTACCAGCAGCAGTGCTTACCGATTAAGCTAAGGTACTGTTGGTACTTTACGACGGGAAATTAAATCTCTTATAGTGAATAATAGAGCTCATACGTTAAAAACCAAAAAGACACCAGCGGGATTCGAACCCGGGACCCCGCTAACCGTGGACGACGAATCGTAACCACTCGGCCATTTCGTTACCTTAGAATTTTCCTTAAACTGAGAAAAGTTGTCTTTATAGGTGAGCAAACGCGCCAGGAAGATTACTGGGTCCATTTGCTTTACCTTGATGGGTAAAAACAAGTCGATATAATGAGCCCAGTGTGTTTGGTTTGTTACTAGGAAGCTGCATAACACAGCCTAATGTGCAAAACAGTCGTGTGTTAGGCGGATCATTACGCAACAATGAACACCGCAATTGTGTATTTTCAAAAGGCAGACGCGTAGATTTCTACTCTTTGTATCTGGCCACATATAGATTCTCACCTCCCTCTTCAGCTATTTCGACTTTCTTAAAAAGAAAAATAGACACTGTCAGCGAATCTCCAGGAGTTGAAATAAGGATCGTCCCCTCGATAGACCTCAGACTCAGTAAAGTTCAACATTGGGCTCTTTTTCAACAGCTGTTTTTGCGGAAACTTTACATCTGGATTTTTTAGAAGCATCTGATTTTGCCCAATTTTAGTAAAATATGTTCCAAATTCTGCTAAAAAAGCAAGGTTAACCCCTTACCATTTTAGATTTTTCATGCAAATCTGATTTTGCCAAATTTTATTAAATATACAAGGTACACGTACCTCCTACAATTTCAAATTTTTCATAAACATTTCTTTTTGCCCAATTTTGCTAGAAATACAAGGTTACGCCCTAACAATCTGAAATTTTCCAGAATCATCAGATTGTGTCCTATTTTGCTCAAAACAAATGCAGGGTTAACCCCTTACAATTTGCATTTTTTTTCATGAACATCTATTTTTTTCCCAATCTTATTGAAAAAGCAAGGTTAACCCCTTACAATCTGCAATTTTCCAGAAACATTTGATTTTTTCCCATTTTCGCTTTAAAAAAATGCGAGGTCAACCCCTTTCAATTTGAAATCTTTCGTAACATCTAACTTTGCAAAATTTCACTAAAAAAGCAAGGTTAGGCCAAAAAAAAGTCTCCGGTTTCTGGTATGGAGCTTGCCCAAAAAGTGGTGTGGCAGTGGGGTGGGGACGGTGGTGGGGAGGGATGTGGTTGTTTTTGTATCTCCGTCTTACAAATAACGACACGCTTAATTATATTGAGTGGGGACCCAATATTTCATGATGCTTTTCATAGCAGTTATTACTCCAGCACTTGTAGTGTCAGGGAGTTTCATGATTTCAGGATACTTTGAGTAGTAATTTACTACTATGATGTATGTCTCTGTATTCAAGCAAAACAAATCTGTTCCAACCTTGGCCCATGCACGTTCAGGTATCTGGTGTGGAATCATGGGTTCCTTCTGGTTGGATTTTCTGTGTTCTAAACAAACAGAACACTTGCTGCACATGTCTTGTATTTGCATTGACTCCCACACAACTCCCCCTGGCAAAAACAAATCAAAACTTGTTGGATTGCCATCTCCCGAAAATTAAACACACAACATCACAATAAAACTACAAGGACGGACATATGCAAAATTCAAGAGAGCAATGTTGGAGCTCCTTTATTCACAATATGGTTCAAAATTGTGGCCTGCATCATTCATGACTGGCAAATTAAAAGAGGGTGGTAAAATCTGGGGAACATTTCCTGTTAAATTTTCTTCAGTGAAATAAAGGTAACTGTAACTGTTCAGTTGCCATCCACTAACTGATGTCAAGTTCTGGCCACATGAAAAAAAGTATGTTTTAAGGAACCGGTACTGGGCTGGTGTTAAGCCAGTGAAATTAAAGGGATGATCCTGGAATATGCCCAATTGGGCTTCACAAGGCGTTTTGAATGAAATAATGTTAATTAATCAGAAAGATCATTTTAAAAGTAGGATATAAACATCCAGCCAAGTATCCTTTAAAAACTGGGCGTTTTGATGTTATTCTTGTGTTATTCGTGCGAGAACGACTTTTGGGATCCACTTTTTCATATCGGTCTGTTCAGTGATTATGACTCCATGCAGCCATGAAGTGTTTGCCTTCTGGGGATGAGTAAGAAACCACATTTGTGCATTGGTGCTGTGTGTAATTTATGTAGCACACGTACACAACGTGTATCGTACATTGAAAACCGACAGGAAAAACATGAGCGTACTCGTGTGCGATGTAAAACAACCAGTTTCATCTTTTCTCGGGAACAGTAAGACATTAGATTAGTTTCTTTTCAACCTTTAAAATAGTGTCAGTAAACAATCCAAAACATGACATTTTCGGGAATTTCAGGCCGTAATCCCCCTTTAAGCAACAGAAAAAGTTATATGTTTACAAAAAAAAAAATATTGACACAAATTGCTGTGGAGACCAAAAATGTCACGCATGATTGATAATTTATGATTATTATACAGCCAGTCTAAAAAAAAAATGGTACAATCGAAAACGACAACATAAAGTCGTTTTGAGCATCACATTAAAGAAAAAAGACCAGGCTTTCCAATACTTTTTGTTTCATCTCATTTGCTTTTGTCAATCCAGAGATAACTCCAGTTTACTGCGGAACACAAAAATCGAGTTTGTGCCACTTACTGGTTGCAATCTTTTGTGAGCTTCAAGACAGCATGGCACAGTACTCGAAACAACTCTGCCCATGCATAAAAGTGGCACAAAATCGATTCTGGTGTATCGCACTAAATTGATTATATCTCTGAATTGACAAAAGCAAATAAGATCAAACAAACACTATTGGAAAGCCCAGTCTTTGTTCTTTAATATTATGCCAAGTAAGAATGACTTATTTTGAAATTTCATATTTAACCAATTTTTTACTGATTGCACCATTTTTTTTGAGACAGGCTGTAAAACGTATCCAAACACGAGCAGCATGCTGGCATGTTAGAAATCTTCATAATAATGCCAAAGACAGACCTATATTTGATTTCAGGCTTCAGCAGGTAGATTTTTGGTGTTTATGATATCAAAACGCTCCTAAATCTTTTTAGAGGTATACATGTGTATGCGGTATGCTTTCATCATTTGTAGTGCAAAGCACCACCAATTTCTCCCCATTATAGGCTAGGTCCAAATCGAGCAATGGCTGTGTCTATTGCCATGGTGTCTGCCATTGGTGCACAGTTGTGAACAGTCGTAGCCACAGCCCTTACTCTCCTCAATATAAACTACAATGGCACAATTCTTCCAACAAATTGGTTATTTTTTTCTTCAAAATCCAAGATCATTTTCCTAAGAGTTCCTTGGATTTTGCCTCCAGCAACTTTTCCGCACTCTCTGCGCTGGCGTCTGAAATTTGCCCGATTTGTTTCTCCAGAGCAAAGAGCGTGTCTTTGGAAGCAGTGTCCTTGTGTTTCTTGATCCTAGTGACATAGTTGGTGCGTATCTGTCGTAGCGTGATCTTGGCTTTGTCGCACATGGCTTTGGCTTGCTTGGCCAGCTGTTCCCGATGTTCCTTTGTCACCCTGAAAAGTTATCAAATTGCACAAAAAAAAAAAAAATCAGTATACGCACATAAGAGTATCCAATGATGATGCAGGCAAATCTGATGAGGGCAAATAGGACCTTTCAATTTCTTAAAGTTTTCTGACAATAAGATAAAGATTTAAGGTAGCACCATGTGACAAATCTCTTTTGTGAGTTTGCGAGGTTCTGAAAAGAACCGGGGGAACTCAACCTTTCGAACAGTACACTCTGCCCTGTCATCGGAAGACTGAAGGGATTCCTAAAGGGAGGTTGCTCGGGAGGCTGATTAGGGTCCGCTATACCCTCGGCAATCTTCCTCTCCACTCCCTTCCTCCACACTGATACACTTCACTAATCTTCATGCAATCTTCTGCATGGACCCCATCCGACATGCCTGGCTGATCAGCCAGCATCCTCTGCTCAGTCAACATTGCATCCTTCACACCCTTCATTGCTTCCAGTCAGACCATATAATAATGTAGTGGGTATTTATAAAGCACACGTATCCACCAGGACTGGTGCTCAAGGCGCTACATCATATTACCCCTGCTCATTAGGCCAATGAAACATTCCTAGCACCATCTCAGCTCCCTGGGGAGTATTCAGCTCGATGCTGCCATTTTGGCACAAAGCAGCTAAATCAACCACACTAACCATCTCTGCCCTCACAGGCACCCATTTACTCACGGGTGGAGAGAAGCAATGAGTGACAAAGTGTCTTGCCCAAGGGCACACGCACCATGACCCCAACCTGCAGGTTAACCCACAGACCACGAATCCAATGCCCTTAACCACGAGGCCAGAGCACTCCTCCCTTCAGTCTCCTGACGACGGGCAGAGCATACTGCCCAAAATGTTGAGTTTCCCCCGGTTCTTTTCAGAACCTCACAAACTCACAAAAGAGATTTGTCACAACAGGTTACCGTAAATCTTTATCTAATTGCTACCATGCAAACCTTCAAATCTTATCCATGTTTTCAGACATATATATGACCTATCTTCGATGAAAACTTACAAAAGCACACTTTAAGAAAGGGACCAATAAAACTTATTTTGACGTAAGCTGGTTCAGTTAGAAGAAGCTAAATTCAGAAACCAGTGATGCAGCTGCAGTAAAGGTAGAAGGGGTGGGGTGGAGGGTCAGCCTTGCCAGGATGGGCCTTATTATTAGTTCCGTGGCTGTTTCAGGCAATGTCAGGGGTGGCAGTAAGGAGCACCTGGCCAGGAACGGCCCAGAGACCACCACCCCGACAGGTGCCATAAACTCAGATCCAGCTGACGTCAGGACAATGCTCGTTCACCAAGAGCGACTCACATACAAAGGAATGACATTTCTTACAATGTTGAAAGCAGGGGTTTAAAATTGAATTTTGTATGGGGGTGAACAATTTTTAGAAACGTTTTTGTGAAATTCCTGACATTCTGTCCACTTGCATAAAAATATTCAAACCTTGCACTGGCATATATATCAAAACTTGATGAAGTGCAGATGGACCAAGTTAAAAGTGATGTCCACATAATCAAAGAAAAGATGAGACTTACTTGGGGATGGGGACCTGTATCACCGTGTCCGTCACCTGGGGGTTGAGATTCATGCCGGAGTCACTGATGGCTTTAGCAGCTGCTTGTGTTGCCTAAAATTAAAAATAATATTCACATTATCTCAGGATATATGACCTCATTTTAAGACCTCTGTAGGTTTGGCATTCCAAACTATCACACCTTGACCCCTAACCATCCCTGAACTTTTCAAATCCATCAATATGTAGGTTCTTTTTTTTTAAGGATTTTGCAGGATTGAGAATGGTAGGAGCTAGCCACTACTAACATGGGGCTTGATGCTCCTTGAAACATTGGAGAACAAAAATGTGCCACTAGGTTCCAGCACAAGAGAATATTTCGAAGGATTCTGGCAAAGTTTAAGGTTTAAAGTTTAAGGTTGTCGTGAATCTTTAAACAAGTTCGGGCGCGAACCCTGAAGTTTTGTGATGACATTACGTCACCGGTTTCACGAAGGGACGGGCATGTGGATTTTGAAGAAAAACCGTTTTCGAGATAATCACAAGAGAAGTTTCTCTGTTTTTAAAACAGCAAAAACTACTACTTTGCAACAACTTTATGCTTTTAATAAGGAAACCTTGACGTAATTCTTTGATAGGTGAACTTTAATTTGAACCCAGTAATTATACTTAATATAGTGGTTAGATAGCCCAAATTAATTAGTAAAGATGCCCGTCCCTTCGTGAAAACGAAAATCCAACAGTTCCACATTTACGCCCTTCTTGTTTAATGTGCTTTTCCATAGGGAAGGGCGCGCGTGTTCGATTACGCGCGCGCAGCTGAGAATGAAACGAAGATGCCCGTCCCTTCGTGAAAAGGAAAATCTCCGTTGACCTACTTTTACCGCATTTCCGTGCAATACGTTTTGTACGTGTTCACGGGGGCAGGCATGTTCGCGTCTCTTCGTGAAATCGCAAAATGCAATTATCGAGATGCCTGCCCCTGACGTCATTAATGTTATTCAGGAATTAATGATGTTTTGCTTACGGAAACATGTCAGAATGCTTAAGTACCATGTTTTAAAGCAAAATAGTGAAAAACTCGAAGTCGAAAAAAAATGTCAATTTTGACATGCCCGTCCTTTCGTGAAAACGGTGACGCTTTGAACCATCGTTTGTAGGTTACGTCATAAATCCACCACGAATGGTCCTTGTCCGAACTTGCTTTTCGTCTTCTGACTGACTGAGCCACTGACTGACCTACTAACTGACTGAGACATTGACTGAGAATAAATAATGTTAAGTGAGACTTCCATTGAATAGAAATTACGATCTATCACAATTTTGAATAGAATGTTGTGGGCTCTGGCACCTCTAGGCTTGCAATTGCCTAGTCTTATTTATTTTTTCTTCACTGACCTCTGGAAAGCTGGCCATGTTGACAACCAGCATGTTGGCCGACTTGGACGTGATCTGGCCAAGTTGGTTCAGAGGGAATTTCCCATCACCTGTTGAGACCTGGATATGGTCCAATACACCTGGAAAAGAAATCCAAAAAAGTCTGAACGGTCTCATAGAGTAAATGTAGGCTCTCTTCCCCTGTCCTACGTGTGTAGAACTCCCAACTTGGTTCAGAGGAAACTTGTCATCACTTTGTGATAAATGTATGTGTGTCAATACACTTACATGTAGCAAAAAAAGGCAATCTTAGACTAATTTTGTTTTGGAAGCAACTAGAACATGTGACCTGACATGATTTGTGATTTGAATAAGGGAATAAATTTGTTTTAGAGGTACTTAATTTAAACCGGCCAGGCACATTTTTACTCCCATTTTGTCGGTCGCACCACGAACCGGCGTATCTCGATTTTTTGCCAAATTGAGTTTTTGTCATTAACGTTATTATTTCATCAAAGTGCTCATTCTCAGAAAGTTTTATTTCGATCGGAGTTCTAATTAACTAAGAACGCTAATTAGACTGTGTGACGTATCTCTAAAAAATGAAAAATGCTGCACCACGAAGTGGTGTATCCCGATACGCCACTTTACACGCTAATTCCCTTAGTTCTATGACGTCACAAAGGAGCGTCGACATGAAAAATTGGAATTTAGCGTTTCACGAACCGACGTATCTCCGTATCTGGCACACGGCCACTATTACGCGCGTTGTATGACATACGATAAACATGATAAAATCTGTTTCACGAAGTGAGGAATAACTTTGGAACTGAATTTCTCAAAAATTAAGCAACTATAATGTTCAATCTATAATTTACTAGCAAAAACGAAACAGCTTGAATTCTTGCACAGGGAGGATATGGAATGAGCCTTCAAAATAATGACCAACTTTAAATCGTTTTTTCTCGAAACACAAAAAAAATGCGATACATCGGTTCGTGGTGGAACCGACGATTTATAAAACCTTTCAGTCAAAACAAGTCAAAAATGAACAAAATTCAAACAATTTGGCTCAAGAATTTTGCTTCATGTTACACCCCTATGGCCACATCTATGGTACATGTATGTGCCTTGCGCACATAGTGCTACAGATCTCCTTTAAATTGGCGTGTGCGGTGCATGCTGTGCGATGTGGCGCAGAACGCAGCGGTGTTCCATCAGATTCATATGCTCGATCAGTATTTTAACAATGACTTTATAATAACGAATAGCCTGCTGACCCTGTGATGTGCGTATGCTGAGTGACTTCATGTAACCCTGTTTGAGAGCATCCAGCGCCTGCTGCATATCTTCACGAACCTCCTCCAGATCAAGAATACTGTCGTCTACTGATCGACTCACGTCAACTTTACTTTGGTGCTTCTTCCCTGAAACAAGAGCAAACATAAAGTAACATAGTAGCAAGTGCCATGGACTCGGGGTCTGGAGCATTGAACAACATGGTCTTTGCTTAATTCTGCAGGTTGTGGGCTTGAGTCCAGCCTGGGGTTATGGTGTACAAGCATTGTACGCTGTGTGGACTTCCGAAAAATAGAGGTCCACATAAACCAGGTAGCAGCGACGTTGTGTGGACTTGCCCACTTCCACACAATGTTTCCCCATTTCTGGAAAACAGGTTTAGAGGCATTTTTGGGTTAGGTTTATATGTGGCAGAATGAAGAGAAACACTAAAGGAAATCATAGAAAAAAAATTGGGTTGAAAGAGTTTTCAGAGTTTGAGAAAAATGAGTTTTTTTCACTGGTTTTTCTTAACTACACGAAAGCAATGGAAAGTCCACACAAGGTATGTAACGTAAACCTGGGTGCGTTTGTGTGTCCTTCGGAAAAGCACTTTGTCACTCATTGCTTTATAATTATTAATTTTATAAACTATTTCTGGTGATGACACCAAGAATTCCTCAAAAGCATGAATGCCACACCTGCATCACTAGCAACTTTGTGTACGCCATCATGTGCCAACGGTGCAAACAGCTCTACATTTGTGAGAGTAAACGCCGTTTGGGAGACAGGGTCGTGGAACACTTATGAAGCATGAAAAGAAAGAACATTGACACCGCTGTTGAGCAACATTTCTCTACTCCACCCCAGACATGCGCGTCTGCCTCTTGACAACTACGCAGACTGAGGAAATGCGAAAGAGCGCGAGTAGCGTCTGATATTCAACCTTGGAACGCTGTTCCCGCGTGGCATCAACGTCGAGTTCTCGCGTTTCCTCATTGCAACCTTGCTACACCCTGAAGGATAAGATGTCCGAAAATTCAGCAAAGCAATAACTGGTGAGCACTACTTAAATTTATGTTTTTATTTACTTCCTCAAAAGCACCCTAGACACTGCAGCTCGCAAACCTGAAGAAACCCATCGAGAACAATGAGAAGAAATTACAGTTTTAGAGGTGGCAGGAAAACCCCAGAAGAACATTCAGAGGAAAACCCACGGAATCAGGTAGGGACTGAAAACCCAATCCACATATTGGCCCAGGCAGGATTCGAACCCAGGTCACAGCGGAGGCAGGCAAGAAAGAACTGCCATGCCAACCTGACTCCCCTAGTCACCCAGGAGTATTTGGGTGCCCGAGACGGACTGAAAACACAAATCTATGGATGAAAGTTTAAACTTACCTTTCTTTGCATAAAACACTGGCGACCCGTGTAGATGACTCACACATAATGATATGCGAGCCCATTTACATGTAAGAATACTGGAAGCATTGAAGACAGCTGCTGATTGGTTGAAACGTTGGAAGAAACCAGGGGTGCCACTCTGTGTTATGACACGGGTCATACAGATACGGTGGAAGATTCGAAGAGCCATTATTGGTGCACGTCCTCAGTTAAAGATGAACACAGAACAGCATTCTAGGAGTTCAGCCCACTCGCTGTTGTCATAATGTGAAGGCCATCACGGAAAACTCTATAGCGCATGAAGACAAAAAAATGAAAACATTACCGGTAGTTATGTGATAAAAAAAAAAAATTGATAAAGATGCTGAAAGTATATTCTGTAAAACTTTGTACGGAAAGATTTCCGTACTAGGCCACCACTTTTTTCAAGCGCCAAAAAGTTCATCCTTAATGGTTATTTCTTCCACTTTCCCTCCTCTGCTCTCACCTCTCCTTTCCTTTAATTTCCTAATCGGTCACTTACTTCATCGAGATTCGAACCTCGGACTCTTGCTTGAAACACGAGACTTTTAACCGCTACGCTGCGCACGATCGCTGTTGCAATGATCAATCTTTGGACGTGTTTGAAGTATCCATTGAAATAAGATAGTGGATATTTTGCCGGAGGTAATGACGGCAAACTAACGATTACTAAAGGTTTGCCGGCGGCAATCCATATCAACAGAGGGCGCTGTACTCTTTAAAATAGAGCTGAATTATAAGATGTATTAAATTCCCACCAAAAGTTGTGTAGCAGTGGTGTAATGGTTAAGCAAAGGCTCTAGTAAGCGGGATGACTCGTGTTCGATTCCGACCGCACCACATTTTTAAGGTTTTTTTTCTCATCCCCAAATAAATAAGAATATTCTTCTTTTATTATTTTAACACGTCTCAAACATTTTTTGCAGAGTATTACATTTTCTTTTTCAGATTTGTGGCTCTGGAGGATTTTTTTTAAAAGGGAAATAAAGTCCGAAATTATAAAATGGTCTGAATCCCATCTTGTGAATACGAGGTAACAACGATAATTTTGGCATGGAGCCAGACTAAAACTTGTCACCGGAAAATGTTTTAAGTACAAAAAAACAGTAACTGCGCATGTTCAGTGCATATCCGGCAAACTAACGTTTACCAAAGGTTTGCCGTCTCCGGCAAAATATACACTGCCTTGAAATAAACTAAATATTCATGAGAAAATAAATATTCATAATGACGTGTTGCACTATCATTGGCCAGCTCATGCGTTGTCATGGTTGACATGGTTGACGATGTCATGCGTATTAAACCTACCGCTGTCTTCCAGCCACTTCAATCAGTTTTGACCGGCTGCTTCAACTTAGTTCTGCACGACGTGTGCATCCAAAATGTGCTCTAAAAACACATTTTGCCTAATTTTTTCATCGCATTTCCTAAGCATAATTCCAGAGCTTCCTGGATTCCTCTTGGGTTAAATCACAAGGTGATTGATGTGTTTGGCGGCAGTTAAAGTGGTGAGCCAGTAGAAAATTTTTCCCATGTCCTTTTTTGCACTGAACCATCCTTCCCACCCCCCCCCCCCACCGCCCACTTGACTACCCCCCCCCGCCGGCCCCCACACATCATCACTGCTCACAGCAGTATTCGTAAGGTATTTACTAGGTTTGCAGGCTAGACCTACTCACTAAAGGTCAAGTGAGACAATACAAAAAGTTACTCACATTTACTGCGATTTACAACACGTGGACTGAGTGAAAGCCTTTCAAACTTTATGAGTTCATTTTGTTTTGACGAACGATGCTAATCGCGTGTTGTAAAGATGCTGAAGTTGTGTTGAATAGACTGCTACTCTCATCCTAGCCAACGTATTTCAATGCCTACATGCATGACATGTAGCTGGGTGCTAGACTGCCAAGTCGCCAATCTCGTGGACCGATTGCGAATTTGCCCTGTTCATTGTCTAACCGGATTGCGAACTTGTCAGTTTGCAAAAGATCGCACATCGCAGAATGGATGGAGTTAAAGGAGATACCGGCGGTCATCCGATCACTTTTAAATTTGAATTTGGTGAAAATTAAAAAAACGAAGAAATAAACAAATAATAGACCGATCTTTGAAGATCTAAATTTCTGGTAATCTTCACGAGGAACACAAAAAACACATTGAATATAAAACAATTAACTTTCTTTTGTTTACAAAGATATTATCTTCATTTATTAATCAAAACAATATTCCTACTACTTTACATGCTTTACTTAACTTTAACAAAATAGTAGTAGTGGCATTTGCAAAATAAAAATTCTAAGAAATAGTTTCTTTGTAAATGAAAATATTAAAACACACAAAAAAAACTTTTGAAGTTTCTAAGTTCTTGACATAATTTCATTTCAAAATAACAAAAATCTAATTCAGCAAAATATACAAATGTGCATACATTTTTGGCCACACTTGAAACCTGGTTGCAAAATATCCAATATGCAATTGTATTTACAAGAAATAGCTTTCCAAGTCACAGAAGAAAAAAAATATGTATACTTGTACTCATGTATTTCAAGCTGAATTTGAACAGCAACTCTTGTTGAAGGTCAATATTGTTCTGCCCGTGCTCTTAACAGTCAGTTTTGTTTCCTAATGACTTTTGTATGGCTTATTTATACGGAAAAAAAACTACTTGTGTTCTGTTTTGCATGTTTTTTTTCCCTCTGAAAATATACATAACTATTTTGGGTGACTTTTTGGGCCATCATGCACACAAAAAATATGCCTGCTATCATCAGGCTGCGAAATCAAAAGCTTTTATGGTAACTATTTTAGAACTTAAAAGGGATGTACATGTATTTGCTCTGTTTGGTGTCTTAAATACCCGAGACAGTTTACCTATTGGTCGAGAGCCTGTCATGTGGATGGTTTTATACCGCCGGTTAAACACCGCAGCATTCTGCGCCACAATACGCAGTACGCACCATGCGTGCGCCAATTTCCATATCAGGCGATTTTTAGCACAACACGTGACGGCACATACAATGTACCATGCATTATGGCCCGAGGAGTGTTTCACAAAACATGAAGTAAAATTGTTGAATTGAAAATTGAGAATTGTGAATATTTGACTTTTGACCAAAAGGTATTTATGAATGGGAACAGGCTAGGAGCCGGGAAGAGGATCATTGCCCAAAGCCAAAGCTTTTATAACTGGCCAAGCATTATATGTGTTAATAGAAAAATAGAAATTTCAAAACAAAATCTATTTTTGAGGTGAGACTCGAAAATACCACATGGGGAGCAATTTTAATTATTGTACATACCGTGACTGAAAACAAGTTAGAAATTGAGCCAATTTATTGAGGTTATCAGACTTATTTCACCCTATTCCCCCCAAAAGAAAAACATGGCAAAATAATATTTAAACAACAGAACTGCTTATTTCCATACTGCTTATATATGCTTTAATTGTTAAGCCAAATTTCTCTTTTATTGTGCAAAATTAAAAAAAAAAAAACATTCCAAAAAGCCAAATCAAGTTATTTTTCAAATCAAACATCTTTAAATTAAAAATTATTCAAATTAAACACGTCAATGGTATTCCTATTCCCAATTATTTATAAAATGTACAAGCAACACGACAGCACAAAAAAATATTGCAACAAAAAGTAAGAAATAACTATTAAAAACCCCAAAACAAAATCCATAAAAATAACTGATACAATGAAAACATTCAAATGAAAGACTTGTTAGTTCAAACCAAACTACAGGGTGAGTCAAAAAAAGCGGAACCCAAACCCCCAAAAATGTATTTGATATTTAAAAAAATATGTAGCACCAAAAATAATAATGACTGGAAAGCCAATTTCAAAAGCTACTTTTAGATGAAAAAATTACTGAAATTGCTCAATCAGTTCAAAGAATACCACTATTTAAACGCAATGACCCTAAAACCTGTCTCGTCCAAAAAATCAATTTATTGTGTGTTTTGACTGTCTGGAACAACAAAGAAAATGACACAGAATACTTGTTTCAACAACTGTCACCAAATGTAGCACACAATATTTTGATAAACAAACCTGGTTAGGCAAACAATATTGATTTATAAAATCTACTACTTTAAAGACGAGCCTTCAAAAGGACTTTGTTGCATATTGTTAACGTTTAAACTAAGATTTCATCGCTGGCGATGTTTGAAGAGAATTGTGGCGACGATTGTTGAAATGGCATTTTTTGGGACGAGACAGGTTTTAGGGTCATTGTGTTTAAATGGTGATATTGTTTGAACGGATTGACCAATTTCAGTAATTATTTCAATCAAAAGAAGCTTATGAAATTGGCTTTCCAGTCATTGTTATTTTTGGTGCTACATATTTTTTAAAATATGAAATAGAATTGTTGGGGTTTGGGTTCCGCTTTTTTTTACTCACCCTGTACATGTAAAATAAAACATAACATTCCACAGACTTCATGCATTGTCATGCCCTCAGATGTTAAAATGCAGAACATCACTTGAAATAAACATGGGTGCCATTCGAATAGACCTCTAAGATGGCTCGCACTCAAAACGTGTCTTGTGAATCTGAGGCTATAAAAAGTTGATGCACTTTCATTTGAAAAACCAATTTATTCCCAAGTGCAAATCAGTGCATATGATTCGCCCCAGCTGTATCATTGTCCTAACTACAGTTGGGACAGTCCTTACTATGGTTAGGATTGTCTCAACCAAAGTTATGACTGGTTAGAGCAGTCCCAACTACATGTATAGTTGGGGGCCATTGCCATAGTTGGAGCATAACATATACAATGGATTATTTGGATTGTTTAAGTACATATAGGTCACATAGTATAATTTAGCCCTTACCCTGCTGAATCCAACAGGATCCAACTACATGTATATCATATACCCAATGGAGCCTGTTGGATTGAGCAGTACCGGTAAACCCCTTGTTTACATTCCTGACGCAATATGTTGGATTCAGCAGGCAACTGAACCGCATTATAACGCCAATAGGCCATCAGCCTCGGTCCAAAATTTTGGCCACCGGTATCAAATGAGGGGAATAATTGTCACTCATAGCGAATTTTGGCAAGGTACATGTATACACCTCCAGAGTTGGAAAATATGTGATAGCATTGCAGCGGTGGCAGCTTTTTGGGTGTTATCACCCTTTTTTTTCTCAAAATGTCCGACGAAATGTTTGTTACCACTCTACATGCTCTAGGGACGGTATACATGTACCTTGCGCATGCTCACTATACTCATTTATGCCCTGATTTGATACTGGCCAAACCCCCAGGCTGATGGCCTACAAGTTGGACTGTGTTGGATTCAGCAGACAACTGAAAATAAGGCACAGTGGATTGAGCAGGAAACTCCGGTTGGACTCTGCTGGATTTAGCAGAGGGGGTTAGGTCATGGTACAATTGTGACAGCTGAGTCCACAGAATAGATGAAAACATAAAACATAATTTAAAAAAAAATTGTTACAAATTCCTGCTTATTCATGTTATTACGAGTAGCTTTGTTGTAATCGTCACTGTCCAGTCTCGTCCATAAGCCTCTCTGCTTTGAGAATGTAACGTTTGATCGCCTCCCTGCGGTGCACCGAAAGTCCCTGCCGTCGTAGGGGCTTGATCCGGCCCCGGCTCTGCCCTTCCTCGTTGTGCCGCGTGCGGAAGTAGTGAACCTTGAGGGCGCCATCCGTGGCGTAGCTGGAGCCGCACACGTTGCACATGTAGGGCCGGGCGTGCTGGAAGCGCCAGTGGCGCTGGAGCATGGTGTGAACGGCCCCAACGCCCGGCAGACGGATGTCGCAGCAGGGGAAGGGGCAGTGGACGTAGCCGTCGCTGTCGCGCTGCCAGATGATCAGCCCTGTCCAGAAGCCTAGTAATCTCTGATCGCTGACGAAGGCGCGGAATTCCGATAGAACAGTTTTCCCTTGAACAGATTTTCCATGTGCAACCTTGGACAATAAAATTGATAACGTATAAAAGCATTGCATTGAAAGGCTACGGAAGACAAATCAACTTTCTTTTCCCATCTACATGCATCAGACCAAACCCCTTAGTCTCTGTATTGCCTAAAAACAGCCCTGCCTGCTATTCCCTGCAATGCCCCAAACTATCCACCAAAACAGGATTCATTGGGCAATCAATTCAATTGTGCAGGTACGGTAAGGACTAGAAGGCAAACTCTTGCATCAGACTACTGAGGCAATTTGGCTAGAATCCTTCCAGAATCCTTCCAGAATCCCTTCGGGAATCCTTCCAGAATCCTTCCAGAGTCCTTCCAGAATCCTTCCAGAATCCTTCCAGAATCCTTCCAGAATCCTTTACAATCGGGCACTGTGCAGGAGCCAATGACACATTCTTTGCACATTGACTTTCCTAGGGGACTAAGCGCCACGTAAAATACTAGTTGCTACAATGTACATGTAGCTGTGTGTACAAGTACCTGCCTAATACATGTAGACTTATAACTGAGTAAACCACAAGTCAATCATCAAAAAAATAAATCACATGTACATGTATTCAATTGAGCAATGGCAAACGAGGGTCTTCATACAAGTTCCCTTGAATAGCCCGTCACTTGATATGGGACTGAATGACTTCTGATTATAACAGGACTGCAGTAGAAACTTAAAATGAAATTCCATGACTTTTTACAGGACAAAATTACAGCTTTCCATGATGCTGTTTTGGCATCTCAAGAGCCCATTTACGTACAATACGCTGAACAGGCATTCACACTGAGGCGATGGATGCCACATCAGCCTTCCAGTTGGACATAAGACCAATGATGCACCACAAAGCACCATACAACTTGAACATGTGGCCTCGGTATTGCTGCGCTGTACCTCTGGCCATATCCAGGTTCCCCAAACGACTGAGGAGTTTGTCTGAAAAAGTGCACACTATTTTATGTACAGTTGTATTCTATGATGTCTTAGCTTCTTTCCTTCAGGTTGTTAAGTTGTCCTTATATCCAATTTTTCAGGAAATTTAGGCATCTTTCTGGAGCCCTTATGCACACGACGATCGTCTGTTGATGGCAGCCATTTTGAACGTAAGAAGTGATGACCCAAAAGCTGTGACGTCGCGTTTACGCAAATCGATCTCGTCGCTCAGGCGCGCGAGTTGCAGTGCGACGGCTGTTTCTTGTACAATCTCTCAACCAATAGTATAATAGCGCGCAACCATACAGCATGGGCGAATCCATTGTACAAGAAACAGCCATCATATTGCAACTCACGAGCCTGAGCGACAAGATCAAGACATCATAGAATACAACCATATGTAAAAGAATATGCGCATTTTTCAGACAAAATCCTCAGTAGTGGGGAGAACCTGGCATGTGGTCTGAGGTTCATGTATAGCGCGGCAACACCGCGGCCACACTAGTGGGGCTAGATGACTGCCACAGCCAAATATTATGCATCATCACATATGGGTTGTGGAGGATTCCACGGCTTTTCCATGAATTTTTTCGTGGAATATCAACTCCTTGTAAAATAACAAAATTCATTGACTTGTCCATGCCTTCCCACGACAGCTTGAACTTCAGCATTCTCCTGGGCTTTGCCACATGTGATTAAAGCCCGCTGTACACGAGAGCTACATGCTAAGCAAAAAGTCATTCAAGGCCGTTCGCTCAGCACTTAGCTCATCGTGTGCAGTGAATTTTTGCTGAGTTTTCTGCCTCGCGAGGCCATTCGGCAAATATCAATCATCAAATTAGGTTTTGCCCTTCTCCGACGTTTAAACACTGTATATTCAGTGTGTTACCTCCCGAGTGAAAGATGGAAAAATCACTCGGGTGGGACTCGAACCCACGACCTCCTGCTTTCTAGTGCAGATGTCTTACCACTCGACCACCGAGCTAACGGGATCGGTTGGCCGGTTCGAATCTGATGTACATAGCAGCGGGTACCGCATAAACTATTATAAGATGGAATTTTGCGTCGGGGTGATATACGCTATGTACATCAGATTCGAACCGGCCAACCGATCCCGTTAGCTCGGTGGTCGAGTGGTAAGACATCTGCACTAGAAAGCAGGAGGTCGGGGGTTCGAGTCCCACCCGAGTGATTTTTCCATCTTTCACTCGGGAGGTAACACACTGAGTATACAGTGTTTAAACGTCGGAGAAGGGCAAAACCTAATTTGATTTATATCACCCCGACGCAAAATTCCATCTTATAATAAATATCAATCATGCTTAAATTTCTTTTGCCTTGCGAGCCGAAAAATCCTTCAAAACCTCCTGGTTGTTTTGAAGGGATCTAGGCGGATGGGAGACAAGGGGAGAGTTTCTCCATACCTGCGTCCAGTCCGTGACTGGTTTCTCTTGGAGGAAGCTCTCCTCCTCCACGCTGGGATCAAAATCGATCAGGTCGAACCATCCGCAGTGGGGTTTGATCGCCAGCCCTTTCGGGAGGACAGCCTCGCACGTGCAGCTCGTGGCGTGGTCTACCGCGCCTCTCAGGGACTCCTGCAACTTGCCCTTCTGTCGATTGACCTGGGGAATCTGCCCTGGGGATTTTGGCATTGTGACTAGCAGGAAACTTCGATGATGTAAGAATCACTGGTTTAAGCAGTGGCCTGAGACAGAATATACATTAAAAAAATATACATATAAATACCGTAGTGATAGCAGTTGAAAATCACATTCCACTAACTGCGAAAGAAGAAATAGAAAAAATGTTGCAACCTGACGCCACTTTTTTCTTCATAGGCATGTCATCTCAATTAAAATTTAAGGTCAGTCATTGCAAAAAAGATGATAAAACATCAAATATGGGAATGAGAAACATTTCGAATTTTGTTAGGAAAAACTTCTCTATAGACTTTGTACACAACCACTGAAGTCAGGTTGTCAACATTTGACATCAATGACACCACTTGCGCTTACTCAACGACTGTTTTTATGTAGTCATATGTGCCCCGCGCCGTCTGACAGTGTGGGTTTTTGGCGCGGGTCACATATCAGTACATGAAACAGTCACTGATTAAGCGTGACTTGTTTTTCTTCAATAGTGACGTCACACACGCACGCAATAAATTATGCATCAGTCATGTCAGTGAAATGGACTGTACAACTCGGCAGACACATTTAATTGTGAGCGGTAAGTTCAGAATATTTTGTTCCTTTTTCAAAATTACCGGTTGTTTGGAACAATTTAAGGGATCTTATATGGAATGTCATGAATGTGTGGATCTATCCAGGGTTACTGTCTGTCTGACTTGTATTCTCTTTACCATTTTTTTTTGGGCCTGTTGATGTCCTCGCATGGCGAGGGCATGCACAAAATGCATGTACATGTCACCAAAGGCAAAGTAGTAGTACGCCAAATTGGTGGAGCGTTAGTACGGAGGGTACCGTAGTTCAACACCCCACTCACATGACTCAGTAGAGCTAGTTTAGTATCGAAGTTTATCTTCTTCAGATAAACTCACGTGACTGTGAGTTGTTATTTTTATTTTTAAAGCACTTTCAAAGAAAATGTGACTTTTCTACCTGTTTTCATGTTTTTAGCAGTTCGCCATCTTGCTTTTATTGGGCCTACTAGCTGACTTAGTCTATTTTCTGTTTGTTATTGTCATCCTTTACCCCTTAATTTCCCTCATAAATCAAAGCCCTGCCCTCTTTCCACAAAATTAAACCTGCTGGCAGTGCTGATATTCAAGAAGGTGTCAACTGTCACTATCAGAATGTCACTTGTTAGTGTCATTTAGGCCAAACAAAAAAAATTGTGTGTTTACGGTAACCCGACCGACCTGGAATTTTTTCGGCCAAATTGCCGACCTCAACTTTTTTATTGCCATTTTGAAGGTTGATAATTGACAAATTTCAAACATTTCAAGTACTTTTAATTATTTGCCACGAACAAAAACCATTTTCCACACTTGAATCTGACCATGATTTGACACAAACATACCTGTGTTAAACGTGCGAAAATCGCGACGATCTCAAAACTTAAATTCTCAAACTACGAAGTACGGTTATTTTTGCAGAAACGCATCGGGGTACGCCTGGCTGGCCGACGGACAGCATGGTTCTAACTCCCCACGTACAAACGTGCGAACTGCGTATCGGCCTGATACGCTGGAATTGCAGCCGGCCCGATACGCCGACAAAAAAATGGCGATCACATTTTTTAGCCCCTGATACGCACAATATAATTATTATACACGCCATTAAAATGCACAATTTGATCGTTACATACGCCATTATTTCATCTTGACATGCAAAATCTTGACCAAAATCCTGTTTTTCTGATGCATGTGTGATCAAAATGCACACGATGACGTGTTCTGTCGACCACCAGCAGCACCCAGCTAACATACAGCATGGTACACTGGTTCCCTTCGCCAGCTAACGGAATCAATGCTATAATGAAGGACCGGAACCAGTGACTACTGCCTCTCTCTGGTCCATACTTCGTATCATGCATACAGCATGATGATGTAGTGGGCCGAAGTTGAATCGTAAAAAAATTACCAAATAAACATTGCTGGAGAAAGAGAATTTCTGCGAATTAATTCACAGAACGTGATCTTTACTTTCTGTGGATGTGTTTTCCATTAAAAATGACGAGATTGCAAAGCTCGAACTTGTGGCGAAACATCGTAGCGTGTTTCTGCAGTGCAGTAGTGCAAGATTTTTGGCCACGTGGGCCGTGAGTTCGGCGCGATGTTTGGCCAGCCAGGCGGAATGTTGGCGGTGCTAGCGGCTGTGATGTATGTTAAGCATGAAGTGGAATCACCGACCTCAAATATATTTTTAATTAGGTGAGGCAAGTTTTAATCACTTTTGATAGCCAGTCTTGATAACTTTCGTGGCGCAAATGAAAATAATCCAGGCACAAAATAAACACGATTCCTTGCTCTTTAGTACGAATGATGCTCCATTAATCAGCACCCCAAGAAAATTGGCGAAATAATTTTCGGACCTACTGACGCTATTTTGAAAGGCATGTAATCGGAAGCAAAAGTTGTTTTTGTCTCCACCTTAATTTCTTAATTTGAAACTTACACGTGTAAATGTAATTCATACTTTTCTAGTTAGGAAGCAATGAAACACAGGTTGTGTAATGTTAATTTTTTTTAAGTTAACAATTTTGATTTTTTTTCTTTTCATTACAAAAATATTAGTGACCTACAAGATCTCCTCTGAATTTCAAGGACAAATCTTAAGATAAAGACCCCCAGATTCGCTCTAAAATGCACCAGAGAGCTTCTAAAGTTCAAACATTTTCGGGTTGTTGAATCACAGCAAATCTTCCCCCACATGTTTGAAAAAATCCTGGGGAGAACCCTGGCCGACGATACAAATTAATTTGGATTGAAATGTATTGATTGAATATCTTCAATGCTTGAATAGTGGTTTTATACAATTTTTTGCGAAAGAACACGTATGGGCATGCAGAACTGAAATGAAAAAAAAAATTACAAAATAAAATTATTTCCCTACCTACCTACCTGGATTTTTTTCTGGCCGTTACCGTAAACACACCATTTTTTTTGTTTGGCCTTACTACAATCAGCTGTTTTGGTGAGTTTATTAAGTTTTATCATGTTTATCTTGGGGTCCTACATGTAAAGGTAAGGATTACCAAAACATGGTTGATTTACATGTATGTATGTTTATGCAATTACGCTTAGAAATTAAGCAGAAAATAACAAACTTACGTAGCTCAGCTGAGCTCAGTTATGGAAAACCGCTTTTCCGCTTGTGCTTAGACAATGACGGACAATGACCGACGACCCGACCGAGTTTCTTTCAAGTGGCTATTGGTGGCGCCCTATCACTTGCACGGTCGACAACGTGCAATGACGCGTCAGTATCACACTGGGAGGAAGGTACACTTATCATAATTTATGCTACGTCACCAAGTTGATGCGCAGGTCGTATGACGTTGCTAGAACATGAATTATGCAGATCCGTGCCAACGGCCGAGGCATGCGCCAGATGAAAGCGCTGGCTCGTATGCAAACGATAGCCTAGCTAGCAAAGCTGACCGTCAAGATGATAGCGGCGGTTTATTCCCCCATGGTCGAACTAGCCCGTTTGGCGAGTCATAGTACAGCTACGGGCAAAGATAAAAAGAAAGGAAGAAATAAATCATTGCATTCAGAAAGCAAATCTGTTGCTGTATCAATTTATGGTTAAATAGATCTGTTTATTAAAACACTGACGAGATTGCCTCGGGATACTCCGAAGGACAACGCGGCGGGCAAGCACAGTAACCGGCCCTGATCAAATTACATTACATTTGAACGGCATACAAACAAACGACATCGACAATGCATTTCTTTCTAGTTTATTCATTTTTGCAGATAGAGGATCTTGATACAATATTATTCCCGTTCCTTTTTAACGAAACTTTCAGTTTTGATATCCATGTCCATGCAAACTTATAAGGAATTGTACGTGCCCGTAAAGTAACGTCAGTGACTTTTTCGTTTGCAACAAAAGTGCTAAAAATCTTAACTTGGCCGGCCGGTGCTTATATAATTGAACAACTAACCTGATTGCAACTTCGTCAAACATCACCACTGAGAAATAACTTGAACCTCAGTTTAAAGTTAAAAATATTCAACAAAGTTCTTTTGAAGGCCCATCTTTAAAAAAAAAATGGATTTTATAAATCATATATTATTTGCGTAATGACTAGAGCTTGTTGTTGACAGTTGTTGAAACAAGTATTCTGTGTCAATTTCTTCGTTGTCTCAAGCAGTCAGAATGATGCACAATAAATTGCTTTTTTTTTACGAAACAGGTTTCTAGGGTCATTGCGTTTTAATTAAATAAATGAAACGAGAACTGTTTTATACTCAAGGCTTCTGCACAGTTTTCAGGAGCCATACATAAAGCTTGATCTCAGTTCACGACGCGGCGCTAGTATAGCGCCGTGCATGCGATGCACGTGTTCGCAACAAGGTATGCATTATGGTATGCATCTACATGTATTGTTGATGTACCCTAACGTGGCGCGGCCCCTAACGTGGCGCACTTTGATTTTTCGCCTGTAGCGCCTAGCTAGAGCAAAAGTTTTAACTGAAATTTCACAGAAAGTGAAATTTTATCAAGTTATAAACACTCCCGTTCATAAATCGCGAGTTTATTTACCCGCTACAAAGTTAAAAGAAAAAATTATTTTGGCGTGATTTTCTGATTTTATTTTCAAGTGCAAAGTGAACCCTTTGAAAATGCCCCGAAAAATAAGAAAATAATTTTGTGACAAACATCTGGCTGGGTATGTAGGTAGAGATAATAATGATTTATCAGAATTTATCAAGTTTACAGAAATTCTTACATGTTAATTTGGAATTTTCCGAGATTTATTTATGTGCGCCACGTTAGGGAACACTCCGCCAAATTGTGCCCAATTTCTGGACGCCACCGTTTTTTAATTTCGGCTTAAATTTTATGAAACCGAAATTGTTCACAGAGGTTAAACAGCAAGCATTAATAAGGTAAAAGTACCAGTATTTCACTGCATGAATTTGAGGTTTGTCAACAAAGAGGTTTGGCAACACTACACGAGGAAATTTGGGTAAGCTTCGAAGTGCGCCACGTTAGGGAACACGACTATACTACCATCATCCGGGACATCCATGTGCATACGTACTGCATAATTCATGTTTCCAGTGATGCTAAATATGACCTCCGTGGCGAAATGGTGACGAAAGCATAAATTATGATAAGTGTACCTTCCTCCCAGTGTGATACTGACGCTACCGTGCATGACGCGCGCCTGCGAGACATGTCAAGCAGTGCATGTGCTACTGTGCTTGTGCAGCAAGAAAAACTGACAGTATTTCATGGTAAATCTTATTGATTCTTATTGTTTAGAAATCTGAAAGCAGTAACTATTACTGGTATGCATTTTTATGAAGTGATCTTAACTCAAATTTGCTTCATTTGTTCGCAAATGTGTGTGTTATTTTTATTTCATTGTTAATGTTATGTTTGCAGATGTCGAGCGCAATTTGAGTCCCCCACGCAAGTTTAAACTTGCGCGAGGGACTCCCGAAGCACGCAAATTACAGTGCGCCATTTTAATTTGCGTGCGCAAGTTTAAACTTGCGCAAAGGCGATCGCAACCTTAATTGCGGGCAGGATTTTCATTGATGAAGAAAAAAAATGTTCAAAACACGAGAACACGGAGAAATAATGGAATAAATTAATGAACAAAGAAATAAATACAAAGGGGAATTCAATTAGCGTCTATGAAAAAAAGCATTAAGATTTAGCAGTGCTTATCAGGGAAGTTTTTTAGGGGGTGGGGCGGCCGGGGAGGGGGCCGGGCAGGGGGCCGGGCGGTGATTGCTTGGAAAGTGTACTGAAGTTGGTCAATAATGGAGACCAGCTTCAAGTTTTTTTTCTTTGTAAACCTAATTGGCATTTTTTTTTATATTCTTGAATGTAAATAAATCGTAATTTCCTAGGTGTAACCCGCTGTTAACGTAAAAAGAATGATTATGATCCGTTTAATTGTTCAAGTTTTGACATTACAGTAGGCCTAATCATTTACATTATTTTTTAAAATGCTTTAAATTACATTACATGTATTCTACAATTAAAAAGTACTTATTCTTAAAAAAAATACTAATTAATTTAGCAATTAATAAATTGGACGGTACAATAATTCATATTGTTTTTAGAAATACTTGCATAACATTTCGAGCGCTGTGTACTTCAAAAAAAAAATTAATGAAAGCATTACCAATTTAATTAATTAATTAAATTTATTATATACTTTAAAAATTATTTTATTGCAGGCTCAATAATTCATATTAATGTTTACAACTTAAAAACGCTATGCATATAAAATGGTAATTATTTAAAAAGTAAACAAATTTGCAACTGATTAAATTAATGAATTTCATTTATTAATTTCAGTAATTAATTAATTCGACTTAATGAATAAATATGTTGTTTATTAAACAAAAATCCTAATGAGCCTTTAACAATAATACACATCATGATGCAAAGTGCATAAATTGTTTTCATTACCAATACTTTCTCCAGTTTCTACACAGTCAACATCATTAGCATATTATAAAATGTTTCAAAAAAAGGCATTTGGGCATTGTCTCCCGAAGCTCAGTGATGCTATTAAATCGGAGAAAAAAATCTGCTTTAAAAATAATGTTTCATATCTGCATGAGTATCATACCCGGAATAAAATAGTTTAGCGGCTTTGTATGCGTGGTGGCCGAAAAAATCTATGCAGTGCGCAAGTTTAAACTTGCGTGCGCAATTTGCAGCAAGGAAATGAATGCGTGCGCAAGTTTAAACTTGTGTGCGCGCAGGTTTAAACTTGCGCGCGCAAGTTCGAACTTGCGCGGGGGACTCAAATTGCGCTCGACACATACATGCATGGCAACATGCATGTTTCAATGGGGAAAAAATGTTGCAACCTGACGTGCGCCACTTCCGCGATTGTGTGCTACACTGTAGGCCTAAGTAGGCTAATTCTATAGTTAGTGCAGCAGTAGTGCATCAAACAGTCGTCGGGTGCGCGCATGCGGGGGGGGGGGGGGGGTTATGATGTAGGCCATTCAGTGGTTCGGTTAATGAATGCTGCGTGACCTACATAGTACATGTACATTGTACAATCCGACAAGGATTTACTTTGGTGTTATATAAAACATACTAAGCCCCGAGTCCATTCATTTCGGGAAAAGCAGATGTTGTATTTTCCTTTTAAACCTACTTTATACATGCAATGATCTCAGGCACATACTTGTACTACATGTATAAAAAAAAGAAATGGTGTAAATTTTTTGTGTAACTGTGTATTTAGAATAACAATCCCCCAATGAGACCACCATCATGAGCAAGAACAGCGACCAAGCCATGTCGTCCAGCAGCAACAACAGTTTCTTCAACCTGATGGGTTTCATCAAGAAGAAACCGCCGCTGCCGGAGGGCTGGATCGTCAAGCAGTCCAGCACCTACCCGGACCGCATCTACTTCTTCAATGTACGGACCGGCGCAACCACCTGGACTGCCCCAGGAGCCATGTCAAGCGTGAGTGACTCAAATCACTGTTGTACTTAGTCCGAAAATATGGGACTCTCAATACTGTGTATGAGAGTCCCAAAACTTAAAGTACTGAAAACATGCAAAACAAGAAAATAGACTGGCACCTAAAAACAACCAGTCCAACAAAGCTTCAGTACTGCATCAATCAACCATGCAAAAGAATGTAAGAAACATGTGGCACGAAGCGGGAATTAGTCTCAATTTACTACACATTTCTACATAGTCAAGCCACCAGACTATTAAATGACACTGAATGAAGAGGTCAGTCTTTTCAAACAGTTGGACCATGGTTGGACATGTACCAGTCTAGTCTTCAGCCCCATTTTGAAGGCACTTGACTTCCCTCTCATGTGCAAAATATTGAAGAAAAGTCTCCTTTGAAAATTGAATTGAGTCTGCAAACTTGGTTGGTGAAATACTGAGGAACTTTTCTTTGCCCCAGTGGAATTTTTGGAGAAATTTGCTGGCTAAAGTGTGAGTAAAGTGAGCCTGAGTTAGTTTTGCACGTTTCAGAGCACTCCAGAGCCCCGTCTGTGTTGTACTATGCCAAAGTTGCTGGTTTCTGGTCTGTGTGCGCATTGCCGTAGCCGTGCGCATCGGCAAAATGAAAACAAACCCTCAATTTTCAATGTAAGATGATTTCTCAAATCTGCCAAACTCACTGGTTTGACTGGAATCCTGCTGCTGTATAATTTCAACATGTTTTGGGGCTTCCACATATTTTACACTAAATTTAGTCCAGCACCATTTGCAGAAGGTGTTGTGATTTTTGTAATTGTGCATTTGGAAGCCAGACTGAGGGAGCAATGGACGTGTGTCTGGAACCTGTAAAAGCTTTGCAATTCGTGCAATTTGTAAGGGAGCAGACTAATGACCAGCCTGGCAGCACGTGGTGTTTTTATTTGCTGCACGATGGCAGCAAATGCACGTTGTTGATGTCACTGTATGGTCTGTCGTTACCGCTTTCTCTGATCTTTGTCTTGACTATCCAAAATTTCAAAGGATGTTCGTGTCGGTTGAGATCGTTAGCAGGTGCAGAATTCTCGAGCCTTATGGCCTTACTGAGGTCACCTCAAGCTCCACCCTGAAGGATATTTTTGAGAGTTTTTTTTTCAGGGGATTCAAGCGTCATCTTCTGGAACATCAGCCGACATTTGAAGAAAAAAAATAGGGGGGGGAAAAACCTGCTTCGCTGCACCACTTTTGGGGCAAGCTCCATACCAGAAACCGAAGACTTTTATTTTTTGGCCTTAAGGGTGCATGAATTGTGTTTTTGTTTACCATGTTTACAAGTTGTTCATGAGTTGATATGCACGAAGCACCTCCCCCGCGAAGTGGACAAGGCAAAGCCACATTGTATTCCAAAATTTGCTCTTACAATTTGAAGCAGGATTTGAAGAGAGCGGTGTTCACTGTGGCTTCTTTTACTGACAATGACTGACAGTAACATAATTTTGTTCAAGTGAGAATAGCTAATTCCTTGTTGTTCCACACAACCTGCTGTGATGACTATGAGTACATCACAACAGATTCTCTCAAAGGTGAGCGACTCAGGCTCAAAATCACATTCAACTGACATTTTGTTTGTGTCCTCAACTTGACTTGGACTTAGTTGAATTGTCTGGCAATGATCTTTGGAGTCAGGCTATGGCCCGGGTTCGATTCCTGCCCAGACCACATGTGGATTGGGTTAACACTCAGTCCCTACCTGACTCCGTGAGTTTTCCCAGAATGTCCTCCTGGGGCTTTCCTCCCACCTCTAAAACTGTAATTTCTTCTCATTGTCTTCTCTCTGCAGGTTTCTTCAGGCTTTCGAGCTACATGTAGATGTACATGTACAGTGCTAGGGCACTTGTAAGGAATGCTTGGTTTCATTACCATTACCAGAAAGAAATATATGATAATCTTGATGCAACCAAGCTGGGAAGGTTACGCAGAAAATTCAAAAGTGACACTGGGATATAATTCCACTCAATTGATCAAAATTTATTTATTACATGGAAAAAAAAAAAAAAAAATGACAGTCATTCTTTAGGCCTCAGGATGTTTGGGCAAACTACACGTATGCATGTACACGATGTGTGTATGCACATGCGGCGTGCTAACCATGGCAAAATCACGTACGAAACGCAGCAAAATTCAATGAAGCTGGCTTGCAATAAGGTATGGCTGGCTGCAGCGACGACAAGCAGTCAAGTGACCTACCCATGCTTGCTTACTCTCCAAGAAAACTAACGAAAAATTCAAGGATTGTGCGTTTTTCGCACTGCATGCCGTATGCCAATTATTTACGCATCTCAGTATGCTGTATTCAATGGAAAACAAGAGGGCGCTCACAATGCTTCGACAACTTTCGCATCGCTCGTTTATGTTAAAAATATAAGACATCGACAAAGAAACTTACAGACGGGACCTGGCAGCATAATTACAGGAATTTAAGTCTGGCCGGTCAGTCGGTCACATTGACTAGGAAATGGGAATTAAGCTTAAATACATTTTTTTTTCATTTTTAAAAGTTTTGGAAGTCAACAGACAGAATTTGAAGGATGTTACTTTAAAGGTTGACCTTGAATTGTGAACCATACATGTACATGTAGCAAAAGCACTGCATGATGTGAACTAGTTATGTACATACCGGTGTGTAAATTTAATGTAATATTCTATCTGGGTTCTCTCTCCTTTTTCAGGACACTGGATCGACTATCTCGGACACGAGTGACAAACCATTGCGGTCGAAGACCAGAGCAGCCCACCCCGCAACATCTCAGACTCCAAGTGGTGTACCAGCATCCAGCAACACCAGGCGGCTGCCAACACCCACGCACCCAGGCAACAAGCCCCAGCCCTCCAGGGTCACGAGTCCCCCCGCGAAGGGCAGATCAGAAAGTCTTGGCAAACATGCAAGTAAAATCAAGTCCCCGTCTCCAGTCGCCTTGAAACGGGAGGACTGGCTCAAGGTCCAGCACTTCAAGCTGACCAACATGTCCAGGATCCAGAAGGCCACCAAGAGGCGGCTCCAGGAGGAGAAAGTCAGGATGGTCACCCCCTCGCCTCCCTGGGGCATCCCCTTGAAAGGTTCCCACCCAGCGGGCACCCTGACTCCGGAGTCCCTAACCCCCAAGTCCCTCACGAGCCCTAACGGCCGTGACGCAAGCTCTGTATCCTCCCGGAGTTCCAAGCTCGGTTCTCCCGCGAAATCCAAACCCCTGCGAGGCTCTCCGACAAACTCTAAGCCCCAACAAGTCCGGAAAAAGAGAAGCTTTGAGTCGGATTCATCAGACAGCCATGCCCTGGACTCGAGAGCCAAATCCAAGCATCTTAAGGCGACCATCGGTCAAAAGCCTCTATCAGACTCCCGCAGTGAGGCAACTCCAAGACTTCCAACTACAAGAAACTCTAGCAATAACTCAGGTAAGACTGTGGTGAAACAGCCACAAGGGACCACCCCAGCCGACAAAAGAGACCTCAGGATACACATGGAGAGATCAAAACAGCTCAAAACGGTGCCCCAGCAACCCCAAAGAGAGAAGCAAGCCAGCAGAAACCAAGCCGCCAAGTTGCCTTCCGCCCCAACCTCCGCTCCCAAGCTACCCCCAACGGCAAACCACACGGGCAAACCCGGGTCTGAATCCTCCGCGAGTGTTGCCAGCAGAGATTCTCAGCCCTCATCAAAGCCCAAGAAGACGAGCAGGGCCAGTTGGAGGAGGAAGGAATTCAAGGCATCCGCGAAAGAAATCAACTGCAAAGGATCCAACATCAGCTTTGTCAAGAATTATGTCAGTACGGTCGCAGCCAACACCAATAGTGCAGGGAATTCCTCAAGCTGTGGGGTTTTTAACAAAGGTAATGGAATACATCAGACAAAGGCAGGGCCCGTGTTAATTACAAATGTACATAGAGAACCGACTTGCTAAAGCTGAGACAAAAGGATTCCTTGACGACAAACTTGACCCAATACTAAGGGGCCAGTCAGCATGACCACAAATTCACTGGCCAATTTGTTTTTCAACTCAAAAGGCAAATTCCATAAAACTTTCTTGCAGTTTTTTCAGGTCTGTATGACAGGGGTGTGAAATCTCGGCTTTAAAGCTGATTTCAGCTTTTTTTGTTTTGGATTTCAGCTTTTTTCCCTCTCTTGCTGTGTACAAAAGTATAGGAGATTTCCAAAGTTCAGTTTTTTTTTACACCTTTTTCAGCTGTTTTCAGCTATTTTTATCAGTGGTCACTCACACCCCTGGTATGAACAGGCGATTACGCACTGTGAACAAAATTTATTTCCAGCAGAAGTGTTTTTCCCTAAATTCCTTTCTTGTTATTTAAAGGTCCAGGTGTAAGCTCTTTTCCAGCCGCAGAGGAGGATGACGAGTTGTGCCAGATGGAGATTGACTTTCCAGATGATACTGTGGACACCGGTGGAAACTCCGACAACAAGAATGTATGTCCATTTTTGTTATTACTTTCAACCAAAGTTTTATACTTGCGGTACAATATCCTCAGTTCCTGCTTAATTACCAGGTTTAAATCTATAAATCAGTTGTGGACAGTGACTTACATGACTTATGAAGAAATTGGTTGATTTCTTAAAACAGGGCTTTCAGCTTGGCTGAGCTTGCAAAACTTTGTGTTTTTTTGTCTTGAATTCTTACTTTAACTACATACAGTTTCTAATGATTATTTTCTCAATGGACCTGTTAAATGACGTGTGATTTGACTTATAATAATAACACCTGTGAGTGTAGAGGACCGAATGTGTGCTGATATCAGCTGCTTCGTGGTCTCCTGGCCTGATGAATGGGGGAACAATTGTAAAGTGCTTTGAGATTGTTGATACGATAAAAAGCGCTATATATGCATTACGATGTATTTCATTTGTATTTTTTAATAATGTGGTGCTTAGATAGCGCTTTATACCAAAGGTCTCAATGCGTTCACAATTATTACCCCTGTTCATCAGGCCATGAGACCAGTTTTTGCAGCAGCTCGAGATCAGCGGATTCTGGTATCTACCTTCACAGGTACATGTACCCAGTTATACGGTACTCCTCCGTTGAGAGAGGCAATTGTAGCAAAATCTCTTGCCCAAGAACACAAGCACTGTGTTTCCCTGTCGGGGTTCGAACCCACGTATCACGGTACGTGAGTCAAAGACCGTAATGATTGGACCACAGCGCTCCACAAGTACAATGTACGAAGTATGAGCCAATGTGATTGGCACATATAAGTCAATGTTATAATTCACCAGTTTTAAAGAATGTTGATGCTGCTGAAACAAACACTATTTTTTCCCCTACTTTTTGGGGGGTCAGAAACTTGAAGTAAACCTTGTCTTGGACTTGCTTTCTTACAGCTGGGTCTTCGGGTTGTTCTGGACACCAATGTCCTCATGCACGATCTGAAATTTGTGAAAGACTTGCTGGATAAGAGGATTCAGGGTGAGTTCAAGTATATTTACATTTGAGTTTAAAGGGACACTGCGTCCTGGAAAGGGCCCAATTGGGCTACAAAACGCATTTTTGAACGAAACGATGTTAATTGGAAAGAACATTCAAAAGTAAGATAAAAACATCTACAAAACCATCCCTCTAAAACTGGGCGTTTTTGTGTTATTTCATACGAGAACGAATTTCGGGGTCCACTTTTGCGACCCCAAAGAATCGGGCTGTCCGGGCTAGTTGTGATTTCAGCCGTAAAGTGTTAGCCTTTTGCGGACAATTACAGTAAACTACACAAAAAAAACGGGGCACAAAATTGAGAGGAAAAAAAACCCTGGTGCCCGGAAGCCAAAGGCTTATGTCCAATTTTAAAAACAAAAACAAAAATAGCTCAAAGTAAACTTGAGGAATACACTCACAACATCAAGTTTGCATATAGGTCTCTCTCAAATGACGTCATTTCCGACAGACCAGCCACGTGCATCAGCATTTAGAACATCAACTTGCATAACGCGCATCGGCTGCGTCATATTTCAAACACATTTAGAGCAACAAGCGCGTGTGTTTAGAAAATTGTCAACACTGCGCAATGCATGCTTGATTGCTTAGAATACGCAGGTGCAGTTCTCCTTCAGGGATGGCCGTCTTTGAGAGAGACCTATAGACCCTGTGCACAGGTACCCCCTCAATGGTCGCAGATGGAGAGTTGGGGGACACCATTGGGAGGGACATTCAAAACGCATATCGCCAGTGGCACCTATCGCTTACTCAAAAATTGCACCATACAGGGTGAGTAAAAAAAAACGAAACCCAAATGACGGGACCATTTTCTTAGTAAAGTTCTGCATTTAGCACTTTCAAAATCTAGGATATGAAAGCCCATTTCATAAGCTTTCTTTTAGTATAAGAATAATTCAAATCGTCCATGTACTTTTCAAGTTATGGAATTTTAACCACAACCACTGTTTTAAAGTTTTGTCCATGGATCACCAAAAAGGTGTGCGTTCTTTTAGCAAAATGAAAACGAATCAAATATAGGGACGTGTGTCAATTGTTTTCGTTTTGCTGAAATTACACGTACCGTTTTGTGATCTGTGGACAGAACCTTAAAACGGTGGTTGTGTTTAACATTTCGTAACTTGAAAAATACATGGGTGATTTGAATGATTCTTATACTAAAAGAACGCTTATGAATTGGGCTTTCATATCCTAGATTTTGAAGGTGCTACATTTGGGTTTCATTTTTTATTTTTACTCACCTTGCACACGTGCTAGTCATCACTGGGGCTGTTGAATATGATCACAAAGTTCTTGCAAGAAGTTAGCCTTGGTCAAGGTGTTCGTCATTATTCGTCAGTACGCAGTAAACGATCGTCTGTATATCCTCGCTATGCAGTACATTAAAAAAACAGCGCGAACAGGGACCTCATGCGGCCGCTATTTTATGCAAATCATGTGGATCCAGATGAACGCCTTTTTCTAATCGTGCATGTGAGTTTTTGGCGGTGGTGCTCATCATGTTAATAGCCTATAAGCTGACCTTAAAATTCGTTTTCTTATTGGTTGATTGGTGTGTGGAAACTTGCATAGCAGTGAAAGTTCATTTAGTGACATGTGCTGTCCATAATACATACACAAACGTTGTGTGTCTCACATGGCACACAACCCCAATGCACAAAAAATGTGGTTTTTGACACGACCGCAAAAGGCGAATAGCTGCAAATAATTTGATGACGTCGGGATTTACCAAGGTATGATTGGACTCATCACATATTAGCCCCGCCTATACTCATCTGTATTCGCATGTGAGATCGTGCGCTAGAAATCTAGGGCAAAATAAAGAAAAACACAAGCTTTTGACCAAGGATAGCAAGGAGTCCCCAATAAAAGCTTTTGAGAGCTTTTGCAGGTATTTTCAGACCCAGTCACAATTGGTGGAATCAATTTTCAAATATTTTTTATTGATTCATGCCATATTTTCTGGTTGATGTCTAGGGCTTGGCCTGCCGACTCTTGTCATTCCATGGGTCGTCATGCAAGAACTGGACAGCTTGAAGGTAATTCAAAACTGAACTTAGTAGTCTAGTGAAATTTTTTTGACATTAACCCTAACAGAACTCAACCCATCAAACCCCAACAGCATGTATTGTTGGAATCTGTCTGGATGGGTACAGTACCCCTAAACTGACAGTCGGTTACATTGGGTTGTTAACAGAAAAAAAACGAAACCGAGATATTATTGTAGTTGGAACAGAAGTAGGGCACATGTGAATCAAACGGAGATATCCTCTTTAAAATGACACCCTGATCATGTCATTACATTCACGGTTGACTGAGCAGTGACCAATTTTATGAAAGGGGTCTATCTAGAGAATTGCGCCACTTTTCAATTGTGGTTTTTGTGGTGTCATCTGTCACAGAGTGAAAGGCTATGGTTGCCAATCAAGGCAGGTGGGGGAAAAAAAGGAGATTTCACCATGAAAAGTGGCACAAGTCTCTAAATAGACCCTTTCATAAAATTGGTCACTGCTCAGTCAACCGTGAATGTAATGACATGATCAGGGTGTCATTTTAAAGAGGAGATTCAACCCAAACAGAGGATATCTCCCTTTGATTCACATGTGCCCTACTTCTGTTCCAATTAGCAATAATATCTCAGTTTTGTGTGGTTTTTTTTATTCACCCATTCACCCTGTATAATGCCAGATATATTCCCTATACAGCGTGTCCCAAAAAAAATTTCCCTCTGATAGACTGCTTAATTAATTCCAAAATCAAGTATTATTCTCAATTTAGTGTTCAGATTAAGAAAGCCCATTTAATTTTGTAACTTCTGTGAACATTTCATTGGTCTCGCTTCATTGGTTTTGAATACACAGTCTATTATGTAACAGCAGTGCTTTTCAGCCCATTCCAAGTTTGCAGGTGGAAGGACGTGCAGGAGGACAATAAAAGTTTACAAGCTGGACATTGAAGAACAAACCATAAGTGGAACACACCCTGTGAAAGCAAACACGACCAGTGGAACTGAACTTTGATTAGTTTTCATTTAAACAAGTAAATGAACTTGACTTTAGTTACTCCATGGATGAATGGTTACTCAATAACAAAAACAACAACACAGTTGTTGAATTAAAAGTGAAGCATGGAATAAGGTATGGTATGTCTGTAGTGTGCATTTCTTTTTATCAAACTTGGAATGGGCCAGAAAGCACTGCTGTTACATACAAGCCTGTGTATTCAAAACCAATGAAGCGAGACATTTAAAAATTTTCACAGGAACTACAAAATAAAGTGGGCTTTCTAAATATGTAAAAATTAATTGAGTATAAAACTTTATTTTAGTAATTATTCTGTGGTCTATGAGACGGACATTTTTTTTGGGACACGCTGTATATTTTGTTTTTAGATTGGAAGCACAAAAGGCGGTGCAGCGTGGAACGCAGTCCAGTTCCTCCACAAGTGTGTCATGAATGAACATCCCCGGGTCAAAGGTGAACCTATGAGAAAGGTCAGTAGTTAAACAAAAATAAACAAATGTGGACTTTAATAGCTTTTTTTTTTCTTTTCTTTTTTTTAATGGAAAAATCACCCCAAGCAAGGCTATAGACCATTATCATGTTGCGGCAATCTTGATTTCTTTACCATTCAAATCAACGTAACCAAAGCGAGGCTGGAAGGAAAAATAGTCTGGTTCCTTTTTGCACAAAAACATTATCATTTAGTACTGTTATTGGATACAGGGAACATGACTGAAATGGTGGCAACGTGATCAACGTCTATAAAAGCCACTCTCGGCAAGGGCTAGAAAGAAGCAAAACATAATGAAAAGAAAAAGAATAATCAGGAAAACAGGAGGCAGGAATTGATATTCCTGTTAAGGCCCCCCCCCCCCCCCCAAAAAGGTTCCGGTTTCTGGTCGCTGTAGCCATGTGCGTCAGCAAAATTAAAAAGGTTTTTTTTTTCAATGTAAGATGATGTCTCAAAACCGCCAAACTCACTGGTTTAACTGGAATCCTGCTGCTGTACAATTTTAACGTGTTTTTAGATGGGGTTACGAACGAGTACAAGCTTTATGTAGCCTCTCTGGGCTCCCATACATGTACATTTTGCACTAAATTTAGTCGGGCACCATTTGCAGTCATCAGCCGAGATTTGAAGAAGAAAAACAGTTTTAAAAAAGAAAAAAAAAGCCGCGTCGCCGCACCACTTTTGGAGCAAGCTCCGTACCAGAAACCGGTGACTTTTTGGGGGGCCTAAAAGCATGAAAAGAGGCTAGATCGTAGAATGGAAGGAAACAGCCACTAGGCAAGGAGTTCCAAAGAGATATAGCACGGGGGGAAAAGTGATTAGAGTAGCTCTTTGTTCTACATCTCGGCACAGCTAGAGTGTATGGGTGAGAGGAAGCAGAGAGCCTGGTTGCACGCTCAAACACCCTGACAGGAGCAACCAAGTCAAACAAACTGGCGGAACAATGTCCATGGAAATATCTGTAGAACAGACTGAGGATGGCTACTTACCTACGGTGGGAAAGGGGTTGTGCTGATGAGCCCAACTCTTCACCGACCAAATTAACCCTAACCGCCTTGAATGAGGAATTTGGAGGAATTTGGAGGATTGAGGTTACATGGCATAAGTGCATTACTGATTTTGTAGGAGGCACTTTGTCAAGGTCGTGGGCCGGACCTTGTGTTGTTTTTGCTCAGCTGTGCAAAAATACAGGCCTGGATTATGCTCCGTACTGCCCCAGGATGTCACTGGCCAAGCCTCAACATATTGAGAGTCTCTTGCCGTAGGATTTTGCAGGATTCAGGCAGTGGTCACCCCTCCACAGACCATATTCAAGAAATAATGGAGGAATTGGCAGGATTGGGGCTTAATGCTGTTTTTACATGAAGGCAGTTGGAGGATTTTGCAGGATTGAGGCTACATCCTAGCAAAAAGGCCTAGGGAGTAAGGGTTAGCACCCAATCTAACATACAGGCAGAAGCTCTGGTCCATATGTGGCAGCAGAAAAGGGGACGTATAGTTGTCTTGCATGTATTTAAGTACAAAATAGCCTCAGGAAAGCCAGCTGTTAGCAATGCTAACAAGATTTTCTTGTGGGCAGGAAACTGTCAACATAGGGCTGGATAGCTCATTTGGTAGAGCACCGAAACGGCAATCTGGAAGTCACAGGTTCAAACACCGCTCCAGTTCATCTTTAAAATTAATATCTTCTTCATTTTATTGTTAAGAGATTTGAACAGTTTACCACACACATACCACACACTAAGGAGTTTAGGCCAGCTTCCCGTCTTGACTAGCGTTGTGCATATGGTGCGAACGACCTGAATTTTCCATTATTTTTTTAAAGAATTATCGAACGTAAATATATTGACAGTAAATAAGGTATGTTTTATTCACTTTTTGTGGCCATTTTGTGTATAGCTTTCTTGTGCAATGGAAATAGTTCAGGCTAAAACATCGCATATACCGGTAATTGAATATTCCATTCAATCTGCATACAAAAAATTGGCACCAAAAAAAAAAAAATTCTGACCGACCGACCGACCCTATTTTTGAAAGGCATGTAATTGGAAGTAGAAGATTTTATTTGTTTGGTCTAACATCATAAGAATCTAAATGTGATAAGGAATCATAAGAATTGGCAATCTGGAGGTCACTGGTTCAAACTCCGCGCCAGTCAATTTCTGTGTTAATTTTAAGATTAATATCTTCTTCATTTCATTGTTAAGAGGTTGAATTGTTTTTGTGCCTCGATAAAGAAATATGCCTGGTTTTACTTTGCATTTTTTGCCCATCCGTGTGTATTTGTTAACAGTCATCCGAGGAGGCGGATTTTGAGATCACCTGCAACGATGATTGGATTCTACAGTGCTGTCTACAGCAACAAAAGATAGGTAGGGTGCTTGTACGTGTATTCTTAAGTCCAGTAGTCGTGGAATCTTCAACCAATCTTGACTGACTTTAATCCAAATCGATTAGTTCTTGAGTTTGAAAGAGACATAGCAATTTAACCCTTTCCTTACCATGTGCGACTTTTGTCGACAAGACTACCCCCCTTCTGATTCCCACGGGCGACTTTAGTCGACCAGGAAACCACACACAGAACACCCTCAACACACATATATTTACCACTTTTCAGAAGGCGGCATGTTGATATGTTTGGGCGCCCATACATCAACCATATACCAGCTGAAAGAGTGTTTTCGGATCGTTTTAATGGTGTAGTTTATTCATAGTGTTGCCATTACAAAAAAAATGAGAAAAGTGCTTCAGAAGTATCCACTCACAATTTGAGGTATGGAGTGCCATGTGGTCATGTGGTGAAATGGCTTGCAGTTTGATAAATGGGACCAAACAGGCATAACATTCTTATATTTGCATGTATGGACTTCATTTTGACATCACATAAAAGAGTAAGGTTCAAGGAACAAACTTTACACACAGCACCTCCTTGGCAGTGAAAATCTGGGTTGAAAAAAGTGAGTTTTTGACTTGTGGTCATTTTTTTCACGCTCCCACGATTTCCGCATGACTGAGCAAACAATTTGGTCCTGGGGAGAGCCAAGTCAATAAACAATGTGGTAATGAAAGGGTTAAGCAAACCACAGTTAAGTCTCAACTTATATCAAGCTTCAGGATCATTTTGAAGTCAGTTGGGGTCCTACTAGGTGTGTCAAAGACCTAGAAGTGATCCAAATCAGTTTTGGAATGCTATTAGCAGGTCCGTTTTACAGATTTACAAATGTATGCGTTTCCACGATTTCACTTGGGGTTTAGGTCATTTTTTTTGCAGCCATTTTGAAAAAAAAGTGGATATGTATATATGTTTGCCATGATATTTGACTAAAAAATATTGATGTTTACTGTTTCTCTAGTTGGTAAGGATCTTGTGGTTCTCCTGACTAATGACAAGCATCTGTGCAGTAAGGCTGTCATCAGCAGCATCAAGGCATTCAGTAAAGAGGTGAGTTACCAGACCGGCTGTGGACCGGATAGACTGGTTCTATCCTTAGCCCAGAGGTCATAGACTTACACCATGACTAAGTGAGTCCAGGAACAAGACTGGGATACACAAAACGCCACTTAGAGTGGTTGGATGGTTTGGGGTGGTACTGATAGTAACTGGAAATGTAGTTTGAGTGATACGGGGACGAATAGATTAACCAACTTTGCATGATTATGCTAGGTTAACACATCTCGATTTTTAAGAATAGCAATTCTTGAGTAAATCGGGGATGGTTCTTGGCTTCCTCGCCAGGGATGATTCTGTTAATAGTTCGGTGAAAGATGGTGAAAGATTAGGAAGCGCCCCGACAAATTTGAACATGTTCTAAATGGTCGATGTGATTCGGAAACCAATTTCAATTCTTAATATATTCTGGTTGTATTCACAACTAATTCGGAAATGTGTGAACCTACATGTAGCATTACTAAGTAAGCTTTCAGAAAACGAAAAAGAAAGTCTTTGAATGTCATTTGTGAAGCGGGCTATATGGATGGAAAAACAAAACAGATTTATGTTTTATTTGACGCTTGTGCAAATGCAATTTGCGCCTCAAAGACAATGTCTTGAGCTCAATGTACACACCTTATCTTGCTATATTGACGCACCGATGTAGAAGTATTATTGTGTGGACCTTCTGTATACAGCAACTTCTGAGATTTGAAATTTGAGGTTGAGTTTCTTTAATGGGTTCCCCTGTTTTTTGTTGTTTTTACAGTTGTGTCCCCGATTCCTGTACTACCCGAAAATGCACACCCCTATCTCAGTGCTATTTTACATTTAAGTCAAAAGTCAAATGGATTTTTATGCCCCGTAGCAAAGCCGAAGGGGCATACTTTTTCCGCCTTGTTTTGTTTTAAAACCCAAGTATAGAATATCCAAGTTCGGGTTGGATCATTTATGGAATATTTTTTAGAGCAAATGTCAGGCCATATTACCAATTAGTTGTCATGGCAGCGTAATATTTTCCTCTTTCATACACTACAGACACTGCTGTCTGGTCTTGAAGCATTGTCGGACATCCTACAGCATAGGCCCCCCTTGCCCCCGGTCCCCACCGACTCCCCTGCCCCTGAGACCCATCGGCCAAGGACACCGATTGAATCTCCACTCACAGCCAACGCAGAAAAAGAACTGGTAAGAAAATGGAATAGCAAGAGCTGATTCAGCCTCGACTCCATCGTCTGCATGCGCAATGTTCATGCGCTTTCCTTCACTAAGCCCTGCACCCGATTTCATCAAACTCTTCGTAACTTGCTATGCATCGCAGCGCTGCGACGCGTCGTATCCCTACGATGCGTCGCAGCTGCGACATGTCCTGCGATCCATTTCACAAAACACGTCGTAAGTGCGACGCATCGTATGTGTATTTATAGCACAACTCGGTGACTGTTTTACATGTATGTATTTAGTCAGCGTACAGTAAATAGTCGTCTGATATTCAACAAAGAGTCGTCGAATCTCAGCTCGAAATTTGTTAAAACGTAAAACAAAATGGCGGTCGTGCGATGCAATTTTGAAGGAAGACAAGCTCTCAGTGGACAGTATAGCTACTTTGAAATTTCAACTGCAATATTCCAGTCTAATTCATAATTCTTCAATGAATTTTCTATTTACAACTTCACGCACATTGCCTCGGCATTATAATCTCGTTTATGTAATGTTTATGGCATTAAACTGGCTAAGAAAGGGACTCTTCTTATTTTGCGATGACCACTAGACACGTCGTAACTTGCGTCGTGTTTTAAGCCGTTGTTAAGGAACTTACGACTCGTTCAACACATTGCAACTTTCGTGAAATGGATGATACGACGCGTCGTGAGTTGCGACAAGTTACACGTCGTAACTCGAGTTGTGACGCGTCGCAGCGCTTCGTGAAATCGGGTGCAGGCCGTGTAGAGCACGGAAACGATGCCGATTGACTATTCAGAGCGTACTGTGCATGTATTTTGAAGGCTGCACGCATTCTACGCACTCGCGTTATATCCTGCACGTCAAGTCACGTACGAACATTTTGTTTTCAAGCATGTCAAGACTGCACTTTACCTCTAATTTGTATGGAAAGTCCAGCATCAAGATTTGAGGAAAGAGCTCGGTAGTTTGAATTTTGCGCCGATTTGAATCTTTTTGAGACTTTTTGAGACTGTCTCTGAAACTAGCCTTGCCTAGTTCGCTAGTCCTATTAAACAATAACGCAGGATATTTGTTTGTATGTTAACGCAGTGTGATGAGTTGATTTGCCAAGTCAAAGAGACACTCCTGCAGGGTCTGACCGTGGTGCTGGAAAAGGAGATGAAAGATGCCTATGAAGACCTCTGGTAAGTTGAAGTCCACAAAAAAACTACCAGTTGATTGAGAAATGTACCCTCTCTAGAAAAAGTTAAAAAGCTTGGCATGTACATGTACGTTAAAGGGTAATTAAGTCCAAGAAAAGGTCCCCTTTTTGTCCCGTACATAATGCCATGTTTTCTTTAACCCTAACAGAACTCAACCCATCAAACCCCAACGGCATGTTTTGTTGGAATCTGTCGGGATGGGCACAGTACCCCTAAACTGACAGTCTTTTACATTGGGTTGGCACACCTCCAGAAACAAAGTCAGAAATATGTGTGCACAGTTTCCTATATGGTGTTGGAATTTGCCAGGACGGGTATGGTTCATAGTAAATCATGCCAGGGAGTTACGGTTAAAATAATCCTCGCAAAGACTACTGACATAATTCTTGTGGGTATTCTCCTTGCAGATGCCCAACAGTAGAATACAAAACACTGAAATCCATGAATATCTTAGAGGGTTAAACTTTCATTACATATGGGACATAGCATACGCGATGTCTTGGACTTACCCTAATAATGAAAATTCTGAGGATCAGGCATTCACGTGTGCAGAACCGCACAAATGAACATCCGATATATCCTGGTAACCAAATTTTATGCAACCCACGCGCCAGCCAATCAGAGTCACTTCAAGAACCTTCAAGAACCTGTGACGTCACTTCGATCAGGCATGTTGACTGGTGATTTGACCCGGATTGACCCAATACTTGGACTTGCCCATATTTGGGGATAGATTTATGGTTTGTGAAGTTCATTTAAAGGTACAGTCCATCATTTGCAGCTATCCAAAAAGTAACCGACGTAATTATTGTTGAAAAACATACTTGGTTGGAAGATAGTAAGGGGACTAAACTTCTTTTGAAATTATTTTTTTCTGGCAAGCTGTTATTTTGAAGAAATCAACGAAAGGAGGCATTTCCAACGATGAGTCTGAAGACGCACCGTTGGAAATTTCCGTTAGTAGTTCGTTTTTTTTATTCGGCGAAGCGCGCGCAAGCGTTGACACGACGCACACGCGTGCGCGGTTGCAATAATTCGTCGGATCAGTGCGCGACATCGCGTAGCTGCAATCGGCTCAGTGATTACGTGTCTCGGACGCTGAATTGAGGCCCAATTCAAAACATGATTCAGCAACTTTTGATTTGAAATCGAGATCCTAGAATGCTGTTTTTCTCGGAATATACAGCTGAAGCTGAGCTGAAACTTCATCAGGTTAGTTGTTCAGCACCCTTCTTCAGATATTGAGCATGTTTTGTTGCTTCAAACGAACAAGATGCACAAATTACAAATGATGGACTAAACCTTTAAAACAATTTTTCCCTGTGATTGTATCTCGTTTTCTTTCTCTTTCCAGGACAGAGATTGTCATCATAAAGCCGCCCTGGTCGTTTAATGATGTGATGCAGTGCTATGAAAAGTAAGTTGTATTTTACGAAAAGTGACATACAAAAGTTGACATTTCATCTCAAAGCAGTACAGTATTAGAAATACTAGGAATGTTCATTGTTGTCTTGTCCAAAAATATTGATTAGATAAAAAAAAAACTGCATTGACCAACAAGATTTTTGTTAACCATTAACCTTAAAGGGAATATACATGTACAACATTTGCAAACATCGAAAAACAAAACTAACACATTTTTACGAAATACCTTGCTAGGATGTTGATAAATGACAGTCTAAAGCATCCTGTAAAATTATGGCACCTGGTGTGAAGTCATTTTCAAGAAAAGTGGTATTTTGTTTAAATAAATAAACCACCGTTGGAAAAACCTAACTATTTTTCAACTACTGCTCCAAATTTACAATTTTTTTCATTCAAAATTTTCTTTGCTATTGGTTACATGTTCATGAACGGGTGCAGGCTAGCTAGACTGGTTGCCTTACCTTACAATTTTCTGGCATTTATAAATTGATCCATTTCATCCTTAGTGGAGTCAGGGAACCAGACTACTTGAACATTTTTGTTTTTTTTGGTTTTCCCAGCTTCTTTGAAAACAAAACTTCAAACATGTCAGTGTAACAGTATTTGATCTATTACACTAACCCCTCAAATAGTTCATTTCTGAAAATTGTAGCAAAAGCCAATGATGTACATTCAAACCCCCTAACATCTTTTTCTAGGAAGTGGACCAAGTCCATCAAAATCCATCAATCACTGTGCGTTCAATACAAAACTGTACATGACGTAATGGAATACACCACTGATGCACTGGTTGACATTCATGGACTTGCTTGCACATGGCTTTTATCACAATAGCAGTACAGGAAGCTAGGCACAATCAATTGGATACCCCTAACGCTGCTTCAGGCCATTAGGCCCAAGTCCATCATACTCCTTAGTCATGCCAGGCCTCCTGGACCAACTCCCCCAAAATCCACCAGTGGGGGGATGGATTTTGATAGAGTTGGGGTGGTTAGGGTTAAATTGACTGATTTGCACTGTGTCTGTGTGATCTTGAATAAAAAAAGTTCATTGAGTTATCTTATAGTGTCCCACATGATAATGTCCCTCCTCAATATTTCAGACTTTCAATTGGAATCAGGAACAAGTCTAGTACAGGTTTTCCCGGCCAATTTTCCTAAAATGTTCATTTACTTCTGAAAATCGGTGATTCATTTTAGTCTGAATTTGAGAATCGCTCTGAACATGCGTTTCATTTTCGCTACCAGAGCATTCGATTCCATTTCAGTTCAATCAATTAAGTGATTGAGCAGCACCTTTCGTTTGTGTCTATTCAGATTCGTTTACAAGACTTCTTTTTCAATTTCAAACATTCACCATTCTACATGTTCTATTTCACTTTTAGTTTTATGCCATCGGCACCAGATACAATTAGGGGTTTCTTTTTCATTAACCGTCAATCAAACTAGCTGTACCTGAAATCAATTTAGAAAAGGTATGCTTGCGTGAATGAATGCACAGGTAACATAATTGGCCATCTGTTTCTCAAAACCGAATGCACGGACAATGAAAACAATTGAACTCTCGTTGAATTGAAATGGGATTCAAGACGTGCATTCAAAATCAGACGAAAACGAATGACCGATTTTCAAAAGTCTTTTTACGTGCCGGCATCCGGGTGCGTCACGTGTCTGGATAAGCGCGTGGGACTTGACTAAAGGCTAACAGTACCAATGTGATGTCCTTTGCTGAGCACAATATTAGTCCTTACATTGGAGTACTGTGGCCTCGTGGTTAAGGGCACTGATTCGTGGTCTGCGGGTAAAGCTGTAGGTTGTGGGTTCGAGTCCTGGCGGGGTCATGGTGCGTGTGCCCTTGGGCAAGGCACTTTGTCACTCATTGCTTCTCTCCACCCAGGAGTAAATGGGTACCTGTGAGGGCAGAGATGGTTATTGTGATTGAATTAGGCTGCATCCGAATCAGTTGTCTAGAGCTAGGTCTAGGTCTGCGCCCATTGAAAATACGCAGGGACGCACTGACAATAGACGTAGCCGTAGCTCTGGAAGCCCGTTTCGGACACGGCCTTTAGCTTCCTTGCGCCTAACAGGCTGCATCGAGCTGTATACTCCCCAGGGAGCTGAGATGGTATTTGGAATGTTTCATGGGCCCAATGAGCAGGGGTAATAATGATGTAGCGCCTTGAGCACCAATCCTGGTGGATACGTGTGCTTTATAAATATCCACTATTATTATTATTATTATTATTGTATATACATGTCACGCCACAGTCTTTTTTTACTTGAAACAATCCTTTCATTTCATTCGATTCCAGGCATTGGATTGCTGTCTTTGGGTTCTTCCTCAACAGAGAAGACAGGCGGCACTTTCAGCAAATCGTGGAACTGACGAGCAGTAAACTCAATTTTTCATTTCATTTTGATAAAAAGAAATCTATTCAATTGGCTTATTGGAATTCTTCATAGTTTTTGCAATGTTGTTGATGATACAGTCACTTGGAAACCATGTTATTTCTTTTTCTCCACATGCAGTATTGAACGTTTCACTGGACAGTGTGAAGCGACTCATTAACAGCAGTGTGTACTTCTGTCGGAGGTTACATAATCAGAAAAGGTAGTACAACAATTCTCTACGATTCTTCTTCTGAACATAACATGGTAGAAATTTAACTTGAAACTTGGAACAAACATCAACCCTGATCCTAAGGTGTGCACATTACTCTGACGTGATGATTTCATCGGGTATCAAATTACAAGCGATTTTAGTTCAAAAAGTGACCAACGTCTGCCACTTAACTCTTGAACAAAATAATCAATCATGTTCATACTGTGTAATCAGTTTTTAAAACAAATTTGTCTTAGGCCAAAAAAAAAAAGTCTCCGGTTTCTGGTATGCGCGCGCGTCGCCGTAGCCATGCGCGTCGGCAAAATGAAAAAAAAAATTTTCAATGAAAGTTGATGTCTCAAAACCGCCAAACTCACTGGTTTGACTGGAATCCTTCTGCTGCACAATTTTAACGTGTTTTTAGATTGGGTTATGGTCGATAATAAGCTTTATGTGGCCTCTCTGAACTCCCATATATTTGCACTAAATTTAGTCGGGCACCATTTGCAGTCATCAGCCGACATTTGAAGCAAAAAAATCAGGTAAAAAAAAAAGAAACGCGTCGCAGCACCACTTTTTGGGCAAGCTCCATACCAGAAACCGGAGACTTTTTTGGGGGGCCTTAAAATATTCAAAACTAAGAATATGGAATAAGAATATTGCCCCAAAATAGACTAATGTCCTAATGTCCTGTTGGTCACTGTTTGTCAACGTTAAATTCAGATGAAATCTGAACAAACATGCCAACTATGCGTCAATGATGCGCCATGGTCTAATGGTTACGGTGGTCCACTCATGTGCCATGGTACGTGGGTTCGAATCCTGACATGGGACATGGTGCCTGGGAGTATAAATGGGTACCTGTGAAGGTAGAGACGAGATTGCGCTAATCTCGAGCTGCAGCAGCTGTAGGAAAAAAAATGGACTTGTGGCCTGAAGAACAGGGGTAATAATTGTGAAGCACTTTGAGACGTTTGGTCCGAATGGGTTGAAACTTGGAATGTGGGTAGACCGGGATGTGTTATAGGTAAAATATGAGGTGACGTCATGATGACGTCATCATGCGATTTTATATGAATATTTGAAATTTTGGACCTTTTAGCCATGTCTCACGAACGCAACATGCAAAATTCAAAATTCTTTTTGTATTTGGTTCGTTAGGTAATAGGTATTTGCACACAATTTAAAAAAAAGTGTGACATCATCATGACGTCATAAAAAATGTGATTTTTCAAAAATCTTATAAGGAAAGGTCCGATCATCATGAAACTTGGTGGGTAGGTAGATAATGGTACTAATATGCAAAATCCGAAGTGACATCAAGATGACGTCATCATTTGATTTTGTTATGATTTTTTTTTATATATTTATTCACCGCGGGACTGACTTTAATCTTGGTTCAAACCAAGAACACAATGACAAAATGTGCATTGTCAAGTGTTGTCAAGATGACGTCATTGCAGGGCATGTGTGGCGTCATGTGATAAAATTATATTTTAGGAATTATTCTAAGCATTTTGAACAACCTTTAACTGCATGAAGCACTCTGACTGCAAAAGGACCAACAAAACAAACATTTGTTAATTGCGAAAAAGCCCTGTGTTCTGTTTTCAAACAGACATTCAGCTCTAGTTATTATTAGTGTTATTATTATTTTCCTAAAGATACGGCACTGCCCTGGAACAGCCCATTCTGAGATTAGGAGACTTCAAGAAGCGTTGCCTAGCTCCGTCGCCGGAGGGAAAGCAGTCTCCAAATCAGGCGTTGCCCAGTGAGGACTTGGCACTGAAACTGAGTGGTGCCACGGAAATCGTTCCCATCGTCTTTGAAGCAGTTTGGCTGAAAATTTGCCAGTTGAGGTGAGTTGAGTTTACTTCACGGACTCAGTGAAATAACAGAATCATTGGAAATAACGTTACTGAGACATTTCTCATATACTGCTAAACATATCAAATTGCTAAAAAGTTGCTTGTAGTTCCTTAGCCCCATAAATGTGGCCAATTTACCGGACTACCTCTGTAAATAAAGGCCACACTTCCACCACGTACAAAAGCATGTCGAACTTTGTCCAACTTTGATTTTCACATTTAGGCTTAGTGTGTAGTTTTTTTTTGGTTTAGAAGCATACTCTCCCTCTTTATAGGCTAATCAGAAAGTGCTGCCTTTTTCAGATGTCTATTTTTCGTGAAATTTCCAGATTCGTTTGCACACGTTTGCGTATCAAAATTTTGACATGAAATGTCACGAAAATTAGACATCTGAAAAAGGCAGCACTTTCTGATTAGCCTATAAATAGGGTGGGTAGCTTCTAAAGCAAAAATAAACTACAAACTAAGCCTAAATGTGAAAATCAAAATTTGACAAAAGTACGACTTGCTTTTGTACATGGAGGAAGTGTGGCCTTTATTTACGGAGGTAGTCCAGTAAATTGGCCACATGTATGGGGCAAGTAGTTCCTATGTCTTGTGCATAATTTTTCCTCAATAGAATTTGTTCACTTGCTAATCTTGAAAATTATATTATTCAGTAAACAAACTTTATCCATAGAGCACATTATTAGACAGCTTTTACATGTACTTGGTAGGTGCTGGCTTTGGTATTTTTAAAGGTAATATACAACATTTGCTTTTGCTTTAATTTTCAGAAATGGATGGATGTGGGGGTTATTATCTAATAGCAGATATTGTTACACTAAACTGTTTAAAGATTGGTGTTCATAGATACTGGAAAAACCAAGAACAAAATGCTGTTCTTGTAGTTTGGTTCCTTGACCCTACTTCAGACAAAACGAAGCAATTGATGGACATTGGGGAATTGTTAGGTATGGGAACCAGACTAGCTGACTTGCACTCGTTGAAGGATGTGTAACCGATTGCAAACAAAATGTGGACTAACTAAATTTGGTAAATTGGGGGCAGTTTTTGAAAAAAAAGTCAGTTTTCCCCAAGGATTGGCCGCCGACCATCATTGGAAATTGATACACAAATTCCACAGTTCTTGAAAATGACAACACAAGTCCATGATTTCACAGGATGCTTAAAGGGGATATACATCATTTGCTTTTGCTGTTATTTTCAGAAATGGATGGAATTGGGGGGTTGGAAATATATAGCAAATATAGTTACACTGACTTTTTTGAGGTTTTGGGTTCGAAAATGCTATAAAAACCAAGAAAAACGATCATTTTCCTGTAGTCTGGTTCCCCGACTCCATATAAGAAGAAACAGAGCAGTTTACATACATTGGGGAATTGTAAGGTCAGGGAACCAGTCTAGCTGGCTTGTACCCGTTCATAGGTGTGTAATCGATTGCAAACAAGTGCGATGGTCAACTGGGGCCAGTATTTGAAAAAAAAGCCAGTTTTTTCCAACGCTAATCGGCCGATCAGCGTTGGAAATTGATACAAACATACCACTTTTTTTTAAAATGACAGTATACCAGGTGCCATAATTTTACAGGATGCTTTACACTGTCATACACTAACAGTCCAGCAAGGTATTTCAAAATGATTTGGTAGTTTTATTTTTTAATGTTAGCAAATGTTGTATTTTCCCTTTAAGACTATTATTCACTAACAGTCAAGTAGGGTATTTCATAATAATTTGGTAGTTTTGTTTTCTGATGTTTGCAATTAAAAAAAAAATATTTCGGAGTCTGAGTAATTTTTGTTTTCTGACAGTGCGCTGATCTTCGAGGGTCTAGGCATTCCCCACGATCTTGAAACGGACAAGACGTCAGTGATCCCCTCGGCGCTAGAATGCCATGCTTGCCTGGACATACTCTGCCCGCTGTTGCAGCAAATCATCAAAGCTTTGGAAAGGTGCGGGCTAATATTGCCAGATTGTCATCCTTCTCATTTTCTTGGCCTTGTTTTCTTTTCTCTTAACTTGAGGGATTCCCATGATGAATCACGTGGATAAGTACGTGAAATCTTGCTTTGCATTTGTTATTAATGACTTAAAATTACAATGTACACCTCAGAGATATACGAGACACACATTAGGTAACTTTGGTCCAACTGATATCTAAAATGTAAAGTATTTGGGGAAAAGTTAGAAACATGTCTATAAAATATGGCTTCACACTGCACATTTAGAGTTAAAAAGAGAAATTATTCACTTTAAATCATAAGTGACCGGCTCCACAAAAAAGGGTATTATGTCGCAAACAAGTTAAATTGAGTTATATACATGGCTGGAAAGTCCACAACCTAAGCTTTCATTTGGTGAATAATAGAGCTCTATAGCCCTTCCTGTTCTGGAGATTTGATGTATTTGCATAGTAATTACTTCCTTGGATTTCAAATTACACAACTGAGAAAACGGGCTTTGTAATAGCTGGCTCTGTTGTAGAACAACAGAAAGATGCACACAAAATGATTGTTTTTTTCCCACTTTGTTCATCAAAATCAACATTTCTTTGACAGAAACCTGAAACTCTAGGTTTTAAAAATGTCATTGATGACAAAATATGAAAATCACATTTTGAGAAAATGTTCACCCTCTCAATGTTGAGCGGGACATTACACAATAATGCCCAGCGCGACTTATTACCCTTTTTAGTGGAGCCTGTCACATTTTTGAAAACTACCAAAACTGCCAAAAGCATGTTTGATACTTCTAAACGTTGACGTTACCCAAGGACAACCAAAGTTGTAAAAACTCTCAACCAGAGAATAAATGTGTCTACCCTAGTTGTGCTTGAGAATACACGTTCCTGGTTTGGATTCGAACCCACGCCACAGAGATAAAAATTAAGAAATGTACTTCTGTTGTGACTTTCATATCACATGTTATATACTGGCTTGTTATTATTTTACAGGGTAACAGAAATACCGGACAGCTGTATCGGTGAAACACCTCTGCCGTTTGAAAGACTTTGCCAGACGATGCAGATCTTTCTTAGAGAGTTCATATCGGTAAGTGGAAATGTTCATCGTTCGTTACCATTAACTCATTACTCCCTGTACTGCCCAAAACCGCCCTGCTGGTTACTCTCTGAACTGCCCAACTCCACCCAAGCACTCTTCATGGATTCTTTGTGGCAAAGTTCAGTGTAATGCAATGTCATACTGGTGTTCAACGATTGGTAATACAGTGAAATCTCGATAAGTCAAAACCGTTCAACTCGAAAACCCTGTTAACTCGAGGTAAGAACGTTTTCCCGTCAAAAGAATAGCAAATCATGTATAAACATGCCTGCGCTTACTCGAAATTTCGGACCGGAAACTTGGTTAAGTCGAACTCAAAATTGCCAGGTGAAGAAATAAACTTGTGTAATAAGGCCACAGAAGAAACTGGAATCCTTTTGTTAAAGGGAATATACATCATTTGCTTTTGCTGTAATTTTCAGAAATGGATGGAATTGGGGGGTTGGAAATATATAGCAAATATAGTTACACTGACTTTTTTTTAGGATTGGGTTCAAAAATGCTATAAAAACCGAGAAAAACAATCATTTTCCTGTAGTCTGGTTCCCTGACTCAATTGAAGAAGTAACAGAGCAGTTTACATACATTGGGGAATTGTAAGGTCAGGGAACCAGTCTAGCTGGCTTGTACCCGTTCATAGTGTGTGTAATCGATTGCAAACAAGTGCGATGGTCCATTGGGGCCAGTATTTGAAAAAAAGCCAGTTTTTCCAACGCTGATCGGCCGATCAGCGTTGGAAATTGATACAAAAATAGCACTTTTCTTGAAAATGACAGTATACCAGGTGCCATGATTTTACAGGATGCTTTACACTGTCATTCACTAACAGTCCAGCAAGGTATTTCAAAATGATTTGGTAGTTTTATTTTTTGTTGTTTGCAAATGTTGTATTTTCCCTTTAAGTTAAGAAATCTCCCATGACCCATAGCCACGTGGGCCTTGACTGAAGGCTATTCAGTTATAAGAAATCTGCCTCTGAAAAAGTGTTAACTTTTTTGTTGGACCAATTAACCTCTACATACATGAGGTGTGTTGTCCTGCCCCCCCCCCCCCCTCCCTCCAACGGGACTCTCAAAAGTGTTCACAAAGTGCCATCTATTCCTGCACAGATTCCATTGGCTCAAGATAGAATTTACGCTTTGGTTGGTCAAAAAGTCTAAGTTAACTACACTTTTGAGCTAATAAAAGGAAAAACTTTTATAACTTGGTTTTGTTTTGGCTCATACTTCACAGCATGACAGGGAGAGATACGCAAGTCTTACGACGCTGGCGCTGCAGAAGTTCGTCATGGTCTACAGCAACAGACAGTTGCTACGGAACGGCATAGTCCAATTGGCCAACGCCCTCACCAGGTTGGCACAGTGTCATGGCGTCTCGTCGTGACCTCTCAGGTGACCTTTGACAATGTTTATCCAAGCGTTTTTGGAGCGCTGAAAGTGGGATAAAAGCTATTTCCAAACAAACCTTGATTTTCCAAGTACACTATCTATGCGCTGTATGTTTGTTCCACTCATTCCAAGATATCAGGGTGAGTGGGCATTATGGGAAGCCTAGATCTTGCCTTTTTTTTGTCAAAAAGCGATATTCTACATAGGCCATCAGCCTGGGTCCAAAGTTTTGGGATCCGGTATCAAATGAGGGGAATAACCGTCATAGCGATTTTTGGCAAGGTATACACCTCCAGAGTTGGAAATTATGTAATAGCATTGTAACGGTGGCAGCTTTTTGGGTGTTATCACCCTTTTTTTTCAAAATGTCCATCAAAATGCTTGTTACCACTCTAGGGGCGGTATACCTTGCGCATGCGCACTATAATCATTTATGCCCTGATTTGATACCGACCAAACCCCCAAGCTGATGGCCTAACACAAATTATTATAATGCATTACCCTTGCATGCATTATAGGTACACTTATCTATGCCATACAACCATTGACAACATGTACAAAAAGCGGTGTAGCCAGGGTTCTGAACATAGGGGGCGAGTGGGGTGGCTGGATGTTACAGTGGGTGCATGGTGAGGGGGGGGGGGGGGGGGGGCAATTTTTGTAGCATCCGTCCTGAAAGGTAGACAGGTTTTTTTCACCAGTCACCCGGCCTCCGTAAAACTGAAATGGGGAGGGGGGGGGCACAATCTTTATATGGGGGCGCCCTTCAAAGCGGACAGTACCTGTGCCCTTCATGGCGGCACATTTAAAGATATTTGCGCAACGTTGTAAAGGGCCGCTCATGAATAGCACTCGGAGTATCACCCGTTATCCACGGAGCCCACTCTCCATATAACGTCTGATATATCTAAGCACGCAGATTTATGCGATACCGCGTCTCGGCCAATCGGAGTCGACTTTACTAAATCGTGACGTCATTTTATTCCCAATTCAGGACTGAATGTTTGGTTGGTCAATTCGAATGCAGTGTTTTGGTAATTTAACATCGGCCGGGCGCGTATCGCATAAAAATACAGAGCGCGTGACCATGACGGTCTTTGTTGCTGTGTCTACAACGGGTGAATGACCGATGAACTGATATAGAAAACGACAGTTGATTGGTCAAAATAAGGAGGTCAAAGAGGCGGTTGTCCTACATAATTAATCAGCAATTCTGCTTAAATATCATAGACCACTTGCTTTTCGCCATGGTCTATTACATAGACTACTCGTGAAAAAGGGACTAGCAAATTTCCAATGCAGGGGCCCTGGGGGGCTACGATTTTTTATGGGGGGGGGCCTGTAAACGTATATTTTGTCCCGTATTATGCACATGTCTCCACAGGGTACCATGTACCAGATCTTGTGTGCATACTTTAAACTTACAGTGTACATGAATATGTACACGTGTCGTATTGCAGTGTGTTTATGACGTATTGCAATCGATTTGTGCATTTGGCCATCATTCAATTGTCAAATTTTTCAGGCCCTGGAGCCAAATGCCAACTGGCATCCCTGTTTGAAAAGGTCATGAAAATTCATGGAAAAAGTGTTCCCAGCATACATGTAGCCTGTCCACAAAACCGAGCTGCATTGTATTTGCCGAGTGCCGTCTTGTAAAACAACTGTGTACACTGTACATGTAGTATAGCATTTAGTACACACTGAGTATACAATTTGTATGCGTCGGTGAAGGGCAAAACCTAATTTCAGTTACATCACCCCGACGCAAAAATTCCATCTTATGAATAGTTAATGCGGTACCCGCTGCTATGTTCATCAGATTCGACCCAGCCAACCGATCCCGTTAGCTCGGTGGTTGAGTGGTAAGACATCTGCACTGGAAACAAAGAATCCAACTTTCACTCGGGGGGTAACACACTGAGTATACAGTGTATACATGTACATTGTATATACGTCAGTGAAGGGCAAAACCTAATTTGATTTACTTCGCCCCAACGCAAAAATTCCATCTTATGGATTTAGTACATCAGTTATGTAGATTACATTTTGGTATGTATATGATTGCTTTAAAATCATTGAATAATTTTATTTTTATATGATAACATGTACATGTCTGTTGACTTTCTTTATCTTTTAATATGAGAGATTCTATCCAGTTTCAGGTCTGAAACGTAAACCCTCTTTAAGTTTCAAACATTTTAAATGTCTGAAATGAAAACCTGTTAAAACCGTTTACGTTCCGACATTCCAAAACCCTCAAAATATCTGAAACATTTGCCGTTCAAGAAACTGGCCTACCAGTTACGTGGAAATCCCTGGAACGTACGAAATGCACATCATACAGGGTGTCCCAAAAAAATAATTGTGCAAGCAGATCCTACAATTTTTGAAAAAGTACTTAACCCTTCGAGCAGTGGTGCAGTGAAAAAATTCTCATTGTTTTCCAAATATGGTCATAATATTTTTGTTCAGTGGGCCAATAAGGCCAAGCTTCCATGTAATCCTCATCCCTACTATACACCACAAGCCTGTAGACTCCCATTGGCCAGACTCTAGCCACTCCGGAGTAAGGAGTATTGAAAAACAGAAGCCAAGATGGCGCCTAATGCCTTTGTGCAGTAATTGGAGATCTTAGTGGCCAACCCGCATGTGCCGTGGATCCCTTTGTGTCAACCCCTCGTGCCGCCCAGAGCCCAGACAGGTTGTAAACAATCCCTGGCCATGTGAATGACCTATATCTTGTGCATGTACAGGCATTCAAGGGTTATTGACCTAGAAATACATAGTGTGATAAAATTCTCATGGTGGTTCCACCGCGTAAATCTTTTGGGCAAGCTGCTCGAAGGGATAACATGAGCATTTCATCTTGATGGAGCGTATTGACTATACTCTTGTGTATAATCAGTGAAAATGCCATGGAAATCTGTTCATGCAAACCAGAGATCTAATTACAGATGGTAAAAGGCTATGGGTTTTTTCAACCATTCCAATGGGATTTGCACAGTTAATGATATCAGTGCATCAGATTGTCATTGGTCTTTTCACTCTATGTAAATTATGTTAACTGTTATATGTCACAAAAATACTTCCAAACTACACACACTGTGGTATTTGATTTAGTGTATGCTTAGATTTTTGTTATGTAAATATTCACACCTATGCTCTCTGTGAAACCTTAAAAACAAATTTTGTTGTATATTTACGTTAGAGCCTATATTTTTTTCTAATGATTATTTGAAATATTTTCAGAGATTCTATACATGCAATATGATTAAGGATAATTTATTTTTGGTAGAATTTTGTTTATTGAATATAGACATTGCATCTGTCCACTTGTAATTACTTTTTAGTTATTTATTTATTTATTTATTTAAAACCATCTTGAATAAGGGTAACCCATCCAGTGAAAGCTGATCATTTGGGGCTCTCACACTACAAAAACATGCATCAATACATAGTTATAAACAAAGACAAGACCTTGACAACAATAAGTTATTCATAAATACCTAAGACATTCTACCCATTCCTATTGGTATTTCATAGTCATAATTCATAATTCACACTACACCAGCCTAGCTAGCTGCGTTTTGCACGACATCGTGCAGTACGCGCAACGCGCACGCCAATCTCCTTTTAAGGTAAGGAGTTGTAGATGGACATTCCATATTATAGTCATAGGGGTGTTTCATAAAACATGAAGAAAAATTGTTGAACAAAATGGTTGGCAACGTCTAGTTTTTGACTTGTTTTGATTTTTGGACCGAAAGGATTCGGTTTTTGACCGAAAAGGCATTTATGAATGGGAATAAATATGTGTTTGGTTGGTATTAAACACTCTGTTTAAGACCGGTTGGAGTCTTGATGGGTAATTATCACCCATCCAGACTCCAATCGGTCTTAAACAGAGTGTTATAATACATCCCGAACCCACATTTATTCCCTTAATAAAAACAAGTCATCTTAAAAACAATTACTTAAATAAATATAAAATGACTAAATTGCATTCATAAATACCTCAGACAGTTTAGCTATTCCTATTGGTCGAGAGCCCGTCACGTGGCCGGTCTTAAACGGATGATAAAGACATGGCTAGCTGGTCTTAAACACTTTTCCAGTGTCACAATAAAATGTGGACTCCTAAAAATCCAGTGCCTCTTACCGTTTCATTGGTTGAACGTTCACAATCCTCACGTAGGCATGCGCAACACTACAAGCGAGTCAGAATTTTATAGTTCTAAATTCAAAACGCAACGCCCCAGGTGCTTTCAGCGTGACATCGCGCAGAACATGTTACGCGCGCGTCAATCTCCATAAAAGGGTTGTTTTCATCTTACTCGCCAGCTGAACACTCCATTATTTTGCTAGAGGGATGTTTCAAAAAGCATGAAGTGAACTTGTTGAACAAAATCGGGATTTTTTGAACGAATTATTTGATATTTTTTTATGGATAAGGTATTTATGAATGGGAATAAATATGTGCTCGGTCGGTATTCCTGTGGAAGACAACGTAATAACCATTCGTATGAAACACTCAGTTGTTTCCTCAATATACTCTTATTTGCCACAAAAAAAATGGTAAACTTGGATCCAGATCATTCTGATTCCCCTTGTAATAGCAGGAGAAGATGGTGATGTTCCATCGTGATGTAAATAAGTACCATAATGTCAGTAATGTATGGAAATGAAGAATGTAACAGCGAAATGATAGCTTTTCTTCTTTTCTCAATCAAAATAACGTCAAGTTGTCTATTGTCTCTGTGATTTTTTTATAAAGCCCAATTGGAAGCGAATTACTACCCGGAAAGCTAAATAGTTGGATGTATTAATTGTTTATTTCATCATTACCATATTAATTGGTAAATAATCAATAGCTGATCCGCCAATCACAAATCTTTTGTATTCTTAATGACAACTGCATGCAGAAAATTATGCTGAAATTAGAAATTTTTGGAGTTTTTACAGAACAAGGTGAAACACGTGTGCCTCAGAATGAACTGAAATAATGATTATCCACTGTTTGATTAAAACTGAACAGTGATCAGTTACTGTAAAGTACATTGTATAAATGTTGCAAAAAAATCTTGCAAACTTGTATTTTTTTATCACTCATTGTGAAAAATTGATCTTTTGTATTCATTATTGGGCTGTTGGAAAAGTAATCGAAGTTTACTGTCAGTGACCGTTCCAAAAATTATTAAAGTTAAGATATGTTTACTTTCTTGTTACATGAAAACGATGCTTCTTAATCCTTTGGCACATTTTGTATATGACGGACCTTTTGAGTCTGCTTGTCTAGTTTTGAGATTTTGTTACTCAGGTAGCAATAAAAACAATCACCAAAGACATTTTGTACATTTTGTTAAAAGAGGTTGTCTTCGTGTATCGTTTCTGCTTTGTTAACTCTTTTGGGTTAACACTTTTGTTAACACTTTTGGTAACGAGACGGTTAGCCTTGATAGTAAAAGCCATCACTGAATTCAAATCTTACCAAGAATCTGTGAAGGGTGAACAATTGTCACTTGTGCATTTAGATGATCGAGGAAGGCTCGAGAGACTGAATTCTGTAAGGAACACAGCGTCAAGTAGGGACTAACACCTCATGACAGCCAAGGTCACCAGGGGTATCCCCTTAACATTTTCTAACTGAAACTCCAAGTCCAGAACTACAATGTATATCCCAAACCAAACCACAATTCAAATGAAAGTTTGTAACATTTTATTCCTTTTTGACGGACCCGACGAGCCAGCCCGAATTTCCTGTGGATGACTGATTCACTGACCAAGTCAAAAATATTTGAAAACTGAGATTTTCGGATCCAGCAGGATTAGGCAAACACGGTCTTGTTTGTAATTCTTTCACTCATAAAGATGGTTACACACCTATGTTCCGACACCCCTGTGTTCCGACTGCACATATTCCTATTCCTAACCCTAAATCCTAACCCTAACCGGGAGTAACACAATCTTATGTGCAGGTTGTCGGAACATAGGGGTGTCGGAGCATAGGGGTGTCGGAACATAGAGCAGTCGCCATAAAGATTGTATAAAACACATATATGGTTTCGATAAGTTATTAAGGTCTTGGACAGCTAAAGATTCCAGTATAAAATCATTGTCGTATAAGGTCATATTTGTAAAGGGGCACCTATGAACTATACCTAGGACTAGGAGCCTAATTTCTGGATAGGGTACTATAAGGGCAAAAAAAAAATAGAATGGTTCTTTTTGTCTTCATCAGAATTCTAATTGAGGGTACTCGTATCTAGTGGAAGCGGTCCCAATGCCCCTGTAACATACAGAGTTCCTCCCTATATGAAACTGGAAATCTCCACCTCTGCATCTATAATAAATATTAACTCAGCCGATGACATGAAAGAGCCCACACAAAACGTTCACGTAAGCGGTTTGATACGTGTACTTCCTTACCCAACATACCCACTGTTCACACCGTCACACGTGAGCATTTTTATTCTGGTCCTTCAACCGCAAGCATCAGATCCGGGCCGTATCGATCGATCTTTTGACCAATCACACGGCGCCTCGTCGAGTTACAACAGCTGTTCCTCCCCGAGTTTGCATAGCATCGATTGTTTTGTACTTGACAAAATTGTGAGCATATGAACATGGAAAAGAATACTGTGATTTCTACGTAAATTTGTGCACAGAAATGCACGCGCCACGCGTTCAGGGAGTGATCGATACTTAATCAAATGTAAATGAAATTCTCTCGGTTTTTTTTTTTTACTATTCCAGCTGTTTTTCCCTGAGCTATTAATGAAGGGCTACAGCAAATATTTGTTTGAATATTGGAGTCTGTTCTTAGTTTTTCCCCGCCCATGAGCCAGAATGGTTACTGCGGCGGACTTTTTAACCAAACGACATTTTGTGACCTACGAGTTTCATTCAATGTCCGGGGAACCAGAGAGCGCACACGCGGGAGAGAAGGAGAAAGTGTTGGTCGCATCGTCGGCGACCGTCCAACCCACCGATATGAACAACGGGAAAAACAAGAAGCGACGCGGCCGTGTGCCGTCCTTCGTCAACCCACTGACCGGCCGGCCCACCACGCTAGCTCTGGCCGCAATGTTGTTCGCCGTCGTTCTGATCGTCTACCTTATATCCAGACCCAAGGAAGAGGGATCAGCAGCTGCCATCGACGAGCGAGCCAAAAATCCCAAATTCCATCACATCTTGGTGCCCGCTGATGACCCGCATGGTTTGGATGCAGGTGGGCGCGAGGATTTGAACTTCAATCGTATGCACCGACCCAATGTCTTCCAGGCAGCCGGTGGAGAACAGCCTGCCCAAGCCCAAGCCTTTCAGATCCCAAAGCTACCTCCGCCGGGCTGGAAGAATCAGCCCCAGGGTCCAAATAAGCTGCCTCCCGAGCCGCATCCTAAACCAAAGGAGTTCCCCGTTGACGTGATCCACACGCCGGAGTTGCAGTGCCCGGAGAAACCATACGTCGTGTTTCTGGTCGTGTGTCTGCCGTCGGAGGTCCTAGCAAGGACGGCCGTCCGACGCTCCTGGGGGATCCCCAAGGGAATAGCCGAGGCCAAGGAGCTGTCTATGAGCTGGAGGACTGTATTCGTGATGGGACGGACCGAGGCTAAGGATGCCCAGATCGAGAGGGAATCCAAGAGTTACGGGGATGTCCTCCAAGGTGACTTTGAGGACCTATCGTCAGAAGTAACCCGAAAGGTCATGTTGGGATTCCAGTGGGCGATCAAGGACATCCCCATGTCTTGCAGACCCAGCTACATCTTCAAGACCAGCATCAAGGTCTACATCAACCTGCCTCTGATCGTACCGTGGATCACGGACAAACTCAACAAGGCCTCGGACCTGTACGTCGGCAAGACGCTCCGGGAAGACCGCCCGATCCGGGACAAGGAAGACCCGCTCTACGTGCCAAGCGCGGACTACCCTCGGAACTTCTTCCCCAATATTGCGAGGGGACCTCTCTACATGCTCTCCATGGACGTGGTGCACAAGATGGTTCCCAAATTCGGCCACATCACCCCCATCGCGATGGAGGATGCCTACGTGGGACTCTTGGCTTACAATGTGGGCGTACCAATCACCGACGACGACCATTTTGTCCTGATCAAGAGACCAAAGAACTTCTGCCATTACCGCAACATGCTGTTCGTCTTCGACATCGAACCTACGGAAGTCATGCATGTGTATAATGTGGTGGAGGAGAAACACAGGTACTCTGAATGCACGGACAGGGGATTTTGACATTAACAAAGCGAGATTCGGATGATTTGCAAAACTTTCTATGAAAGATAAGACAGCTCGTTTAAACAGAGTCAGCTAAGCTTTATTCCTCACAAATCGTGGGAAACTGTGGTGCTCCGTGTCCCATAGCATGGCACTGGTAACTTCTTCTTCCCACCTTGAGGCAAAGTGTGTAACGGAGCAAAATAAAACTCGTTGATGAATGCCCAGCGTGATTAATAAATTACTTCTATCGCGCTTGGGGCACGCCCTGACTTTTTTAGTTCCAAAACTGGTTATTGGTCTTAGCGGAGAGGCGATAAGGGTCAATGTAAATAATTTGAGATTTCAATAATTCAAAGTATTGCCCGTAGAAATACCCTTTATAATATTTTAATAATACCCTCTGTAGTTTGCCAGCATCGAACGGTATCTGTGATATACAGGGTGAGTAAAAAAACGAAACCCAAATGTTGGGACCATTGTTGTAGTGAAGTTCTGCATGTAGCACTGTTAATATCTAGGATATGAAAGCCCAATTCATAAGCTTTCTTGTAGTACAAAAATCATGCAAATCACCCATGTACTTTTCAAGTTACGGAATTTTAAACACAACCACCGTTTTAAAGTTCTGTCCACGGATCTCAAGAAGGTAATAAGTGTTCTTTCAGAAAAACGAAAACAAATCACATGGGGATGTAGCCTACATAATTATGTGCATGTGAATTGTTTTTGTTTTGCAGAAAAAACGCACACCTATTTTTGTTTGTTTAAAATTCCGTAACTTGAAAAGTACGTGGGTGGTTTGAATGATTCTTGTACCAAAAGAAAGCTTATGAATTGGGCTTTCACATCCTAGATTTGGAAAGTGCTACATGCAGAACTTCACTGAAACAATAGTCCCGACATTTGGGTTTCGCTTTTTTTTGTCTCACCCTGTAGCCTACATGTAATCCAAAATTGAAACGTTGGCCTTCACAGTACTCAACCTGGTGAAACGGCATGGTTGTTTGAATCTTTTCAGGATACAGTACCCCTAAACTGACAGTCTTTTACATTGGGTTGCGGCACACCTCCAGAATCAAAGTCAGAAAGAAATATGTGTGCGCAGTTGGCACTTCCCATATGCTGTTGGAATTTGCCAGGATTGAAATGGTTTCTACTAAATCTTGCTAGAGAGTGAGGGTTAATAAATATTTATCTGAATTACTTCATCAACAATAACAGTGAAAAAAGCGAACATTTAATAAGCGATTCAATTTATTTCAATTTCATGAGCAATTCAATTTGATAATGTTCACCCCAATCAGAAAGGTAAGAATCACGAGCCGCGAACTGACTTCAAAATAATAATAAAACAGTTTGACAATTTCTTTTTAAGATTCATATTTCAACTGTTAGAAATAAATATAAATATAACAAACTGGGAAAAACATCATTCAGTCATGACATTATGATTACTGATTTTTATTTGCGTACTGAATGACTTATATTCTTCACTCAAGATTAACAAACCAGAACGCGGGTATTTTAAAAATGAATGCAATGTTCCACTGACATGTCTAAGGAACATTTCAAAGTTTGCAGCCATTATCAAAGTCAATACATAATGCAACCAACCACGAACAGATGTTTCGACTGATGACGTGTACTTTTAGGTTTGTTTGGAACGGGGGTTTGCCAAACCAGGGCTCTGTTCACAGCTGTGGCTACAGGCACCTGCTTCACATTTTAGGCCAAACTTGTTGTCAATATTATGTTCATTCTGTGGAACAATAAATCGTATAAATTGAGGCTAACGTTTTTGGTTTACTTCCATTTTGTTATTTCCAAATCACTCGAGTAATTTCGGATCTACAGATTAAACCGAAACTGCATGGTTGAAAATTGGTGAATCTCGGTTAAATGTATCATTTCACAACTAACTGCCATTAACCCTCCTGCTATTTAAGAGGTCACAAACGGTCAAAATGTCCTTCCCCACCCTGACATACTTTTAACACACCAATGGGGGTCTTGACCAATATTGACCCACGTAATAACATGGCTCCGTCAGAATGCAGGTTTAATTAAAACTCATCAAATTTAATCCCTTGCTCCCCCCCCCCCCACACACACACTTTAGTTAAGTAGACAATTTAAACAATAGAGATTTGCATGACATTTTAATTATCATATTCAGCAACTTTTCATGAGGTTGAAAAAAATATACAATGAAATATCAAGGTGATATAATGCAAGTAACAACTTAACATACAATGTAGATAACTAAGGGCCGTCTATGAAATGCCTACGCACGAAATGTCGACTCTTAGACCCCCCCCCCAAAAAAAAAATTCCCCGTACGAAATCGCACACGCGCTAAACGAAACCCAAATGTCGGGACTATTGTTTTAGTGAAGTTATGCATGTAGCACTTTCAAAATCTAGGAAATGAAAGCCCAATTCATAAGCTTTCTTTTAGTACAAGAATCGTTAAAATCACTCATGTAGGCCTACATGTACTTTTCGAATTACGGAATTTTAAACACAACCACCGTTTTAAAGTTCTGTCTACGAATCTCAAAAAGGTAAGTGTTCTTTCAGCAAAACGTACATTGTAAACAAATCACATAGGGATGTATGTGAATTGTTTTTGTTTTGCTGAAAGAACACACTTTTTTGTGATCCGTGGACAGAACTTTAAAACGGTGGTTGTGTTTAAATTTCCGTAACTTGAAAAGTATACGAGTGATTTGAATGATTCTTGTGCTAAAAGAAAGCTTATGAGTTGGGCTTTCATATGCTAGATTTTGAAAGTGCTACATGGAGAATTTCGCTAAAACAATAGTCCCGACATTTCAGTTTCGTTTTTTTTTTTTACTCGGCCAGGCCTGTATTCCTTTTTGGAATTTTAAGTCTACCCTATTCTAGCAGCATTTTGACTGGTTCTGGTAGGTGTAAATATGAGAAAGTACATTGTTTTCATGTATTGAAAGCAATGCACATTGTGCATGTTAACAATGTTAACAAGGCCCCCCCCCCCCCCCATTCGTGTGTACATACTTTATGGACGGCCCCTACCTATCATGGACATATTTGCTTTCAGACATTTGATATAAATTATTATTGAAATAATTCGCGAATTTCAAAACATTTAAATAGAAACATTTAAAAAAACAATTTGCCACAGGCCCTATACATAATAAATTGCACAACTTTTCATACAACGCATAAAAAACCTTGCTCAGAAAATCAGGTTTTTTCAAGACTTAATAAACAAGCCTGCTAACAAAGGCAGCCTCTTTGGTACGTCATGAAATACTACTACATCCACCTTAATTTATCACTAGTCAGTCACCTTAAAGGGGCCATGATATGAATTTTTCTTGAGCTGATATTTTGTGCAACTTTCTTTTCCTCTTAAATGTATTAAAACTATTTGACATCACTTTTTGGTCATTTTTTTTTATGGAAGAGTGCACTTTTTTTAAACGTTTCAAATTGTCCATACTGTTCTTGACAAATGAGGGCGCTCTTGCCGTGATGACATTTCAGGAAGACACTGTTGAGTTTTAGGGTTTTCTGTTAAAATTGTGAACCCAAAAGTTGCTCATTGAAAACATTTGTCATGTTTGTGGGAAAACTTTGCTCATTGGCCTAATGCCATGAAACAACAATAACCAATCACCAAAGAAAAAAAAACATTTCAGAAAGAGAAATATCCAAAGTGGGGGCAAATTTTGATGCTGAAATAGCTGTAACATTGAGGTTTCTGCCTGAAATGACATCACACTTTTGCTCATGAATAGGCAGATTTTCATTAGAATTAAAACCACAAAGGCACAAAAAAGCCCTTAAAAATGGCAAAATGAAAAATGAAAATTGAAAATACGGTTCAATGGGACAGAAAGGTGCATTTCCAAGGATTGCATTAAACAAAATTACATTAAACAAAATTACATAACATGGCCCTTTAAAAAAAAAGGCAAAGCGCAAACCTTGCCATTGGTTGAAGTTAAAGTGACTAGAAATGAAACTGATTTAACTGAAGCAAATAATAGATTAGCCTGACTGAGACTGCTCAATGCATAGTTTTTAATATCGACAAAACAGTACTCTCATCTTTTTAATCGGAATGTAAAAAGGTTTTAAAGTTAAGTCAAGCACTGCAATTAAAGGGCTGGCACCTTCTCAATAAAATATCGACAATTAATTAAACAGACTTGGGAAACACAATGTATAAAGTGGCCATCTCACGAACAAGGCCCATAAAAAAGGGGAATTGCGACATGAAAAATATGTATTCAAAAGTTCGAAACTTGCCTAATGCAGTTTCTTTCTTGTTCTATTGCTTAATCTTGGGTGGAGACCTCAACGAGAGATTTCACAAAGAAGAACCCCAAGACCCCATCGGTAACCTCCTCCTCTGTTGCTATGGGACCCTCATACTCTTCCTCCCAACCACGGGATGCGGTGTTGCCATGCCAACTGGCAACATCACCAAAAGTCCTCAGCAGGTTTGCGCCTCCCGTGTGCACCAGAAATTTATGGACCCTGTATCCCTGCCTGAGGTAGAATCCTTTATGACTTGCATCTGTGTGCAAGTGAACTTCGTGGTAGCCTAACTTCCCTAGGAACTCCTCTGTTCGGTCCCGAATGATCTTTCCGAGGCCTCGGCCTCTCTTTGCACCGTCAATGCACTGGCCCTCGATAAACACAGCTTTGGGTCGGTTTGTGACTGGGACGAATCGGACATGACCAATTACAGTGTCCTTAGGGAGGGCATGGTCCCTATGTTCGATCAGACCGAGTGAGCATGACAAACCGGTGCATTTTGCGTTCTCTAGTCTGGGCAGTAATTCTGCCTTGCACTGCGGCCATTCATGTTTCAAGACCTTGATGCAAGCCGGTATAAAGTCTTGTCTCAAGTGCAAGGGTATCAGGGTATATGTAACTGCCATTGTCAATACAACACAATTTTCAAAAATTGTTCAGATGTGTTAATAAAGAACATGATCACAAACAACAAGTACATGCATGTCATGTATGAAACAAAGTCTTCTTAAAAGATTATTGCACATATACAAATTAACATCTCAAATTCGTAAAAAAAAACATATTACACTGTCCAATCTAAGTACAAACAAACCTGTAATAATTTCATATGAATACCTTTAGACATAGGAGCTTAGCTAAATACATCCCAACAAACATGAATTGTGAAAACTTCAATTTGGGCTTTTCTTTTGCACGTTTCTTTGCAATACACAATGCAATATCACATAAAGACTATAACAGCAACCAAGGGAAGCTTCAATAAATTTTTTTTTTAATAATGAGATCTTTACCTTTATAAAAACACACTGTGACCGAATGGCAAACAACCCAGGAACTAAAAACCTAAAACACTCAAGATTTTACTCTGAAACTACATACATGTACATGTACGTACATATATGTAAAGTTACAAATTCATGCAGCACAATATAATACGCACCTCTAGGACATCAACAGTGATGACAGCTGTTAGCGGTCGAACGTTTAACAACATTGTACAAACTGGCACCAACAAAAATGGCTTGCCGCAAAAGTCTGATCTTTGAGAACAGAAAACAGGCAGGAATGCGCACTGTGATGCAAATAAACTAAAAGCAAGCTAAACATCCAGAACGCATGACGTCTCAGGGTCAAAAGCGTCCTTGCATAATTGCCTCATCCTGTGCAAGGGCGCCCTCACATGACGACGCATACGGCAGACTGCACAGCACCCATGTCTCGCTTGGCGACCAAGGTCCCGTCCTGATGCACGATGACAGCCTGGTTACCATAGCGGCTGTAGCTGAAGGTCGTCGACGACGAAGAAGCGCCCCCGTCGTCAGCCAGGGCGTCGCCCTGCCAGGCAGCCTTGGGTGTCGGTGAGGAGGGGGAGAGGGCCTGGCGCAGCGCCCTGTGTTGCTCCTTGAAGACCACCACCGCCGTGTCTTGGTATCGCTGATGGATGAAGTGTCTTGACTCGGGGTCAGTCTTGTGTCTGCTCATTTAAACTGCCTATGCGAAACAAGGAGCACAAAATTATTGTTAGAATGTGTACACATCAAAGATAGCATTTCCACGCTATTTGGGTTGTGTTCTTTAAAATGAAATAGGCCAAATCCTTTTTGGAGGCTGCCTCCTTTTTCTTCTTCTTTTTTTTAATTGAAAAAAAAAAAACCCTGAAATAATGATAAATTTTAAATCATTTTGGCCTCTTTGTCTGTTGCATCTAGCCCATATTAAGCTGGTATGTCATTTCCTGAGTCCAAAGTGGCGCCCATTTAAAAAAAAAGCTGGGGGCCATCTTGTAAAATAGCCAGCCGGTCGTTTTGGAAAAAAAAGAAAAAGAAAAAAGGGCCTCCTCCTTCCTTCTTTTTTCCAAAAAGCAGGACGCTAAACATGTTTTCTTTTTACTTGGCCTTATGTCAACCACTCAGTCTATGAGTGATCTTTTCATTGGTTGCTATGGGTTACCATCAGCACTACAGACACAATCATTTAGTCGAGGTCCATCTTTAAAATAAATATAAAGAAATAAATCAATAGTCTGGGCTCTGGCAATGTAAGAAATTCATGGATTTTATAGCTCAAAAAACTAACGGGAACACGACCATACAACACCACAGATTTCAAACTAAATGAACGTGCAACAAAAAGCCTTCAACATGTTCAACGTACATTAAACCTGTAAGGCTGATTCATGGAAGTGCACTGCTAATGAGGATAATACATTTTGCGTATATAGTTTTTACATAGTTTGTGTTGGATGTGGTTTTGTAGAAAAAAACTTAAGAAAAAAAAAATTTGATAGAGGCCTACAACTTTGGGTTCCATGGGAATCTGCAAACCAAAGAAATATGGATTTAAAGCATATTTTCAAAATTGAGTGTACGCTTAAGGCAGAGTGCAGTGTGATTATTTTGCATGCAGAGTGCAGAAATATGATTGAAATGCTCAAAAGAACTCACATTTTCTCTAAAACACGAAAAATAGACATCTGAAAAAGGCAGCACTTTCTGATTAGCCTATAAAGAGGGTGAGTATGCTTCTAAAGCAAAAACAAAATTACAAACTAAGCCTAATGTGTGAAAATCAAAATTTGGCAAAGTGCGACACGTTTTTGTACTTGTGGACGTGTGGCCTATGTTTACGGAGGCAGTCCAGTAAATAGGCCACATTTATGGGGCTATCTGTGAACAAACCCTATGAGAGTGGACTGAAAAATTCTAAGTGTTTTCTAAGAAAATGCTTGTATTTTCTCACTGCTCAAATTGACTTTGATGACATGAAATTGCTATCTGGGCCTGGGGGCTTGTTTGTTAGTCAATACAGAGGAAAATAAGTGAACTTCGCATATGGTAGGCCTAATCTGCTAATCTTGCCCCAACTTCCTTCACAAGATTCTGTGAAGCTCATCTGCCCTTCCCAGCGCCCTGTTTTCAGAAGGGGGGGGGGGGGGGGGGCGAGCGAACGCATACGGTCATGACGCGACGGTAGGCGGCGTGTAGAAAAAGGGTCACCAAATGAATAGCGCCCTCACACATTTTTCTAATGCGCGAACGTACGTACGTGGTCATGGTGCAAAGAACCCTTAAATTCGTAAAGAGAATACACCTCACCTCCGTGTGCAAATAGAAAAATTACCAACCTGTTAAAAAAAAGAGCCAACTTCTCAACGCCACTGACAATTGTGTTGGAGTCTAAACCGAAGGAATTTTTGTACGTTTCAAAGCAAAATGTTAGGTTTGTTTCTATGCACGCCGTCCATTCTTGCAAGAGCAGGCAGCGCAGGTGGCTTATATATCACTTCGTTTTTCGAAAGGAAGAATGATTCAGGGTTCCAGACTATAGCAGTGTTGAAAGCTAAACTCGCACAAGTCTGTTCAAGTGTTGAGTAACAGACGAAGAATTTGGGGGTAGGGAGGTGGTGGATGTGGCGGAACTTATTAGACAAGGCTTTGCTTAATACCGTTATAGCGAAAAATCCCTGCTTGCTATAGCAGAACATTGTGTGTGCTCACGGTAAGTGTATTTCACGAAATAGCTTTCGCTCGGGGATCGTACCTGTGGCCCTGAGGACGCAGGGGGCCAGGGATAATTAGGGCTAATGAATTTACGCTCTCATTGATTTTGCGTGACCTGCAATTCATAAAGGTGTGATATGGTTGTAGAAAAAAATACAGTCGTGCGTGCTTATACTTCCCTTGTTCAGTTCCAAAGAGTTGCTTACAACAATTCGGCTTTTCACACTATACCCCGTCCACTTGAACATGGGTCCACCTTGAGCGGAACGCTGGTTGGCATTTGTTCTTGGCAACTGAGGCATACCGTTCACACTTTCATACCTCGTTCAACGTTCATACTTTGCTTGCGGGGCGGCTATAGATTTCTACCCGGGTACTAGTGTTCTTATAATTCCTCCATGTCCCGACCTGGGTTGGATATACCGACGTAGAGCCCTAGACCCATGTGGAAGCCGTTTTGGGATTCTTTCTCGTGTGAAAAGGTTTCTGAAATATCAATGTTGGACCCGGGATACTGTGGAAGGAATTTACAAAGTCTTTTCGATTTTTTTTTTTTTTTTTGTCTTGGGCACTCGCGATGACAGAAACACTCGCTGCCCATCACGACGTTGTTAAAATTAGGAAATTTGATGTTCTCTAAACCTTTGAGGTTTCTCAAATTAAACAAGATGATTAGCTCAAGTACTATCATATTTGTTCTATCACGACTTTACATGGTGATTTTCGCGCTCGGGTTTGAAACTGAAACCTAGCTCGAATGAAATCAACCGGGGATATTTGCAATAATCACGGTGACCGAGGTTTTGAAAAAAAAATAGTGGATGCAGTATAAAATGCATGGGGATACTGCTTTAAGAACAGGCATATAATAGAACAAGTAAGTTAAAAAAAAGAGCTCAAATTAATGTATAGCATTCGATGCGTAACCTTGGAAAGGAAAGGGGTACTTTTGAGAAGGCGTGGACGTTATAATTACGTTCGTTCGTGAAAACACGTACTGCACGTTGTAAATAACAACACCAAGTACACGATATAAATCTATTACCAGCCAATTGCGTTATCGGATCGGCAAAGTTTCCTATCCAGGGCTTACTATGGGAAACGAGATTGGAAATAAAGTAAGCACTGGGAGGAGGTTGGACTTGTCTGTACTAGTCTGGTTCCCCAGACCAAAAGATTCCGACTAATTCTGACAAGCTGATTTACCCGATCATAGATCGGGTAGGGCGTAGTGTTAATGTTGGGGATGAAAATGTGGGGAGTTAAATGTAAATGGGGGATATAGTTGAGGAGACATGCAGTTATAGAAAAGCAATTTCTGTGGTGTAATCTGAGGCAATTTCTGACCACTAAAACCAATTTCAGCAAAAGATCGTCTTTTAAAGTTTTGAGTTTGGAGTAATTGAATCAGCTATTTATGTATTCTGAGCAATAGAATCATTATTGTAGGCTACAATTTTTATTCGGGGAAGAAAAAGTGTGGGGGGACCAAACAATGTCCCCGCTTTAAAAGTGGTTGGGGGGGGGTTCCCCGTCCCCCGTTGATTTACGCACATGATAATTATTTACCATGGCAACTGTCTGTAAATGTTCCCGTTGGTCTGTTAAATTGGCATTTTGTGAGGCAGTCGCATTTGGAAAACGTAGTGAAAAGGTTACCGCAGTACACAGGCGAAGGCTGATTGTACAATTTTGACAATAAATCATAATGCAATAACACGTGAATTGAGGTGTCATTTGAAATGAAAATGTTGAGTGTTTTCCGGTCTGAATCATGGAGGAAGGTCATAATGAAGTTTCAGTATTGGACTCTTCAACAAACGTAAACTTGAACTTCTTACAATTTGCGAGACTGTCTGCGAGGAAAAAGTCGATTCAACTTTTATTGAAGTTGGTTCAACCATCTAGGCTATATAAGAGCAAGTTTTACTCGGCCTCCGAGAAAAGTTTGCTCCTGAAAGGATCCGAGACCGCGGTCTTCCGCGACACCAAAATCGCTCCACGTCCGTGGAAAAATGTAGAGGGTGTATTTCGCCGGATCGGACACTTTTTCGTCGATTTTTTTGTGACTGCGTTAAAGATCGCGATATTTGAAGAAATGCATCGATCCTTCGTTGATCCCAAACCGGCCCCGAAATTATAACGCGACACTGAATTATACGTGGCGGGCAGCGAACTCACAAAGCTCAGCCTTGGTGGAAGCATGGAGCTGAATTAACACACGATGGAAGCAACAGCGAGCACTCTATCACGTCACATGCTTGTGCTTCAAATAGCGAGCACCGTAGACCCAACCTCGTTTCCAGGGCGTGGAGCAGGCTGCAGTACGCGTTGCCATCGACGGTTTTACGCATAGCCCGGAAGTACTACGCAGTGTCAGTCTTTCGATTGGTCAGACCGCGCAAGACATACTAATGTTAGTCCTTCTGAGTATTCGTTGCACTCGGCGCACGGGCGGCAAGCAAAGCACAGAAAAGAATAGGGACACTTGATGGCCACGCACCATGGAGAAAAATATTTTGCCAAGGTCACCCCAGACTACCGTTCTGTGAACACTTCTGCAGAATGGCTGAGTAGAACACGTAAACGAAACCCCTACGTTGACCTCGCTGACCTCGCACAGTCTAGACTCGCAGAAAAGCCAGCACAGGGGGCGGCCAGGCAGTCAGCGTGAAAGCGCACACGACGGCAAATTCCTGCGCAAAACGCAGTCACGAAAAATCGACGAAACGGATCGCCAGTCCGTTCCGGAAAATCAGGACGACCCGAAGTGTCCGATCCGGCGGAAGACACCCTCCGCATTTTTCCACGGAGGTGGAGCGATTTTGGCGCCGCGGGAGCCCGCGGTCTCGGATCCTTTCAGGAGCAAACATCGTCTCGGAGGCGAGTAAACTTCTCTCTTATATATATAGATGAATCTTAGGGGGGTAATACAATGTATTACAATTTACGTCACGTGACTAAAACAGGAGGAATTTCTCCTTTTTCCGAAAATTTCCGAAGTTTGCCGAAGTCGTTTCGTCGACAATCGGATAGCGCCCGAGTATTTCCGAGTATCTAATATAGGTTTAATTAACTGCCAATTGCTTATTAATTTTATTTTAAATGAGTTGATAATTAATATTCATTATTTTCATTCAGAAAAATTAAAATTCAACGACGATTCTGTGCATCAAATAAACTCGGATCGTACGGGCGAACTTTTTGCTGCGTCATGTACAATTTTGAAATTGACGACCGTTACCGAGATTTTTACAAAACTCGGTCTTCATTCGGCTGCGCCTGCTAACAGTGCTATTTGGTTCCCTAATTTTGAAGATTCCAGATCAACAGTACTCAATGTTATCTTACAAAAACATCAAATTGTAATTATCATAACTGTATGATATTACGAAGCAAGTGATTTATTTAAAGATCTGATCAGAACATTAAAAGCTACAAGTGATAAAGCGAAATCGGAAACGAAGCCGCGCTTTGAAAAAGGGCCATTAATGTCGTCATGTTTATTTTAAGCCACGGAGGCTGCCTGACCTACAATTTAAGACGTGAGCGTCGGGAATAATTGTCAGGTCTGGGAACCAGACTAGTCTGTACGTCCACCGGCAACCTCGACCCCAGGGTGTCGAGCACTATTGGAAACAACGCTGGACATAAAGTAAGCACTGGGGACGAGGTTGATCCACCGGTTACTCAAAAGTGGTAAAAGCGCGCCCTCTTGTTGGCCCACGTAGCACTGACATAGGGAAGTTATATATCATAATCGACGACATATTTTAGTTGGCAGACGTTGTTGGTCTGGCGCTGATCAAAACCACACACATTCCTCACTTTGGAAACAAGTTCTCCTGACGTTGTAGTGGATCTAGCCGGTCCCGCTGCAAAAACAATGCGTCGCCGACGCAAAGATCGAACTCTCCTGCTGGCTTTTCTGTTTACATCTGCCGTCGTGCTGTCATCCATCGACGCTCAAGGTAATAACAAGCGCACATAAAAATACCAAAACAATTAATTTGGTTTGTCTTTAGGCGCTTAAAGTTGCTCTCCTCCTGGAATTTTCGAGTTTGACTTCAAAAATAGATCTAAAATTCCTCTTTCGCATTACACAAGAAACTCCCCTTTGAATGACAAACTCAAACCTTAAATCCACCCAAGGCATGTTAAGTTCTGTAATATTTTCGGCCCGACAATAATTGAGGCGTACGTATATCTTCTTGCGCGTTACGGGTGCGAAAGTTAACTAAAACAAAAACTGTTTTCAAGTCCAAAATTGACTAAAATAGTTGCTTTGTTTTCGTGAACACACGGCGGATTTGCCATTCAGGTTCTAGCAGCGTGTGTCAGTGATCCACAAACGTCTTGACAAAACTTTTTGTTTTCGAGACACTTTCTATACAACCATAACTATTTCAACTTTCACGAAAGCAAAATAAATATGTAATATATCACATTAATCTACATTAATGGGGCTTCCCTACAGTATAAATATATAAGCTGAAATCGCATTTAATATGTAAGAGTGAATTTACTTCTTAAAAGGTTGTTATTCAATGTGGTCAACACTTATGGGAAAACACTGCACGTTGAAGCCGTGTATTTCCATGGAAATTCAAACGGCCATTCTGATTCGCAATTTAATTTAGACTAGATACCAAGTATGGTAGTAAAATGAAGCCAAGCAACGCGAATTTCACATCAACTTTCCGTAGGGAATCAACTTTAATTTTAAAGCTTGAACGAAAACGTTCGGCCGGATACAGTGAAGGACCCGCATTGTATTCTGCAATGAGCAAAAACTGCAGCC